TTACCAAAATATAATAAGAACAACAATAGCGTAATAATTTAACAAAAAATTATAGTTCATTACATACTACTTGATTTACTTCTGCAACCTAGGCAAATCAATCCTACGAGTTTTCATATTTTGAAAATGCTGCATAATAGCTTCATTATCAATTGCTTGAAAAATGTCTCTTTCGATGTAGCATACTAAGCAATCCGTAAGATAGTCATCTCCCATCTTATTGCGAAGATCTGTCTTGATAATATTCATCGCTGAGAAAGCTCTTTCAACTGTGGTTGTTGCAACTGGTAGCACTAGAGTCAACTCAATAAGACGATAGACCAAGTGAAAAGATTTGTGAATTGTAAGCTCAACCATCTTCTTAGACACTTCACCAATACTTTGTAAACTGGAAAATGTTTCATTTCCTCTCATCTCATATATCCAAACTTGGAGTTGTTCTTTAAGCTCCATTTGCTCAACAGCTGAAAAATCAGATGAATATAACTCCGCAAGACTGAGTAGCTTTGACTCACAGAAATTGGAAAATTTATCTTTAGGATCAAGGCAAGCTAAACAAGCGAGTAAATCTGTATTTGACTCACTAAATCGATTCTCCATTTCCGGATTGACCTGGTCTATAACCTACAATAAGGTAATAATAAAAAGTAGTAGTAATAGTAATAATAATAATGATAATAATAATAACAACAACTAATAAATAATTTAAATTTTAATAAAAAATACCTGATAAAAAATATCAGCTCGAAAGTGATGATAATTTGTTACCGGATGGCGAACGCGTCTAGAACGATGAGTTGTATCTTCCATGTTTAGAATGTCAATTTTATTCTTCACACAAAATTTACTGACATCTTCTAATAGCTCCTCCCATCCATTTTCTCTCAAATCTTGGAACTTCTCTTTAGTGCTTTTAATCAAGCTCACAGCCTCGAGAATGTTCTGATCTTTTTGTTGCAAGAAATGTGACAACATATTCGTCAATCCCAATACCTTCTTCATCAAGTGGACTATAAAAACAAATTGATAGCTCTCCATTTTTTCAACAAAACTACTAGCTTTGCCCCTTGATTTCGAATCAATTCCATCATCAAATATATTGTCAAGCACTTGGATTGTTGGAGACCACAAAGATAGAATATGAATAATGGTTGTAAAATGTGAACCCCATCGAGTAGCTCCCGATCGTGCTAAGGTACTTTCTTGATTCAATCCTCTCCCGGTCGTAATTTCACCTTTTTCTAACATGGCTACCATGTTTTCATGTTGTTTTTGGCGAAATTCATCTTTTCTTTTACAAGAGGATCCAACTATGTTAGTAATCATGGACAAATATTCAAAGAAATCACTCACAAAATTATTTTTTTGAGAAACAACCACGACAACTAATTGCAATTGGTGAGCAAAACAATGAATATATCTCGCATGTGGATTTTCAATCAAGATAAGAGTCTTCAATCCATTCAACTCACCTCGCATATTAGAAGCTCCATCATACCCTTGTCCTCGAACTCTAGACATTGATAATTCATGTTTTGAAAAAAAATCATCAATGCCACTTTTTAAAGAAAGAGATGTGGTCTCAACAACATGCTTAACCCCAAGGAACCGCTCAATCACAACTCCATGATCATTTACATATCTCACAACAACTGCCATTTGTTCTTTCACAGAACTATCACGAGCTTCATCAATAGATAAAGAAAAAAACTTGTCACCAAGATCATTTATTATGGCTTTTGTTGTTTGTGATGCGCACGCATTAATAATATCTTTTTGAATCATAGGACTAGTAAGTTGGTGATTCGAAGGTGCATTGTCTTTCACCACTTTTGCCACATCGGCATTGCGTGCACTATACCATTCTAGCAATTCCAAGAAATTTCCTCTATTTAATGAGCTCTCTCGCTCATTATGACCACGAAAAGCCAATCCTTGTGCAATTAAAAATCTAGCACAATCCACACTTGTATTCAAACGAGTACGGTATGTCACACCCAACAGTTGTGTTCCTGAAGAGCGACTTCTTGAAATACTTTGTTTTTTATTTTTGAAAGCAAAAAATTGTGTTCTAGCATCATTGTGCACACTCTCTACAATACCAACATGATCTCTAAATTTTTCAGGAGCTTTCTTCCCATTACGGAATCCGGTCCTCACAAACACATCATCACCAAATCTCTTTCCTTCATGCCCATGAAAAAGGTAACACCAAAAACAGAAAGCGGCATCTTTAGAAATACTATATTCCAACCATTCTCAAGTTTTAAACCACTCTCCTCGAAAGCTCTTTAATGTCTTACCAAATTCAGTTCGTGGAAACTTATGAGATGCTGGTTGACAAGCACCTTTAACAACATATGCTCTCATCACATCATCCCTAATCCCCGGCGCATATTCATTAATTGGTTTTCGTAAAAATGGATCACTAATAATATCCCATTCATGTGTACTTTCTGTTCGGGCTCTCTTGTCCCTCTCATTCCTCTCATCTCTAGCAATATTTTCATTTGACGCAGTGGCATTTTCAACACTAGAGATAGACTGATTAGGAACAATTGAAGAACTAACACCTCCAATAATCAAAGACCTCTTAGTCTTAATTACAAATTTATCCAAACTCATATTCCTAAATATAACAAAAATAAGTATGAATTAAAAATGTTCCTTATACAAATAGCATTAAATTGCATCTAGAACTGAGATTTGAGGATTCACACAAATAATTTCTGACTTTTCGTTAGGGATGAGAGCAAATAATTAATATGGGCATAAATTGGCAGATGAGAAACTTACTTGAAAATTGCAGAATCTGAGAACAAATGGGGAGAAGTGAGAACTAACTGGAGAAGGAAGGTAGATTTCTGTTGGGGAGTAAAGCCGGAGAGGGAGCGGGCGATGACGGCGATGCTGCTTCTCAGTTCTCACGTTCGCTGCCTGCCTGCATTCTCAACTGCTCGATTCATTTTTTTGGCAGAGTGGGAAGGGACTGCCGACTGCCTAGGTCTTTTGTTAATGAAGCTTTGAATTTTTAACCCACTTAATGGCTTTAGACATTAGTGATTTCGTTTTGAATTGTTATTTTTTTCATTTTTGGGCTTAGGCTTTAGGATTGCCTAGGTGGCTTGGGCTTTAGAATTGTTTTTTTTTTCATTTTTCTACTTATGCCCGTTTTTTTTACTTAGCCTTAGACTAGATGCTCATTTGTCTCATTGACTCATTAATCCCCTTTTATTCTATATTTCATTTTTTTTTACTTTTTCTGAAAATACTTTTTTATTTATTTTAACACTTCATCTTAAAATAACCTTAAGTTGTACTTATTGTTTTTAAAATTAAAAAAGAAGTCGGGGCAAGAAACATATTATAAGTAATACTAGTAAAAAAATATTAGTCGGAACGGGGGCGCTTGCCCCCCCTTGCCCCCCCCCCCCCCCCCCCCCAGCTCCTCCACTGCTTTTAGGTATAAGATATAATAAGCCTACTAAAAAGCAAGAGGAAGAATTTTCTTTCATATGTAGTGCAACTCTTTTGTGCAACGAGTATTAGATTTTTCATTACACATAGTATTTGTACAAACAACAATGCTTGATGTACCCACTCTTATACCCACCATTTTGTGAAGTTTTTTTTTTGTCTGTGAACCTGATTCACAGACAATTTTTCTTTGTGCAAAATATTGTCTGTGAATCGATGTTCACATACAAAAAAAAAATCACAAACATAGGTGGGTACAAAGTGGATCTAAGAGTGGGTACAAACATAATTTTTGTTGTACAAATGCGCCGGATAGCCTTTGATATTTTGTACAATGAAACTCTCTTTTGATATGTAAATACTATATAAACACCTAGAATATCACTAAAATAAAAATCAATATTTAAAATAAATATTCTTTATTAGAAATTTAGAACATATTCTCATGTTAAGCCAAATGTAACAACTACTAGACTAAAATTTGTTGAAATACTAAACGTGGAAATGAAGAGTAAGAGTCTATTTGGTAACACGAAAAACAGTTGGTTCGTCTGATTCTGCTGAAATTTATGAAGTTCTGACTGAAGTGGTTGCATTGGCTGATTCTGCTGATATAAGGAAAAATTATTTTTAAAATATAATTTATTAATAAAGAAAGGAAAAAGAAACAATGACCCAAATATTAGTAGTGGGGTTTCAAAGGACATAAATGTGACCATATTTTGTTTAGACCAAAAAGTGATTCAAACTCATAGCCCAAGGCCCTAAACCCATCATCCCGTCAAGTCAAGATCTCTGCATCTCTTTCGCATAGGTCTGCCTCTTTCCTTTCTCTGCATCTCTTCCTTATCACCTAGGTTTGGAGAGCTCTGGAAATCGCCGACGAGAAGGAACCGCCACAGCCGCGCCGCCCTATCTCCGCCGCCAATCTTGCCGTTCACCAACATCGTTGTTCACCTGCATCGCCATCTACCTCACTTTTTCTTCTATTTCTAACTGATTTTGGGGTACGAACGGCCGTGTCTGTCATCCTCCTTCATGGATCGATGACAAGATGGAAGAGTCAGGTCAAACGAGTGATTTTCCATAATCCTCGCTTCCAAATATGCGGTGGTGAACGGCTAAATAGGGTTGTCAAAGCTTCGGCGGAACTAGGGCCACTAACGACGGCCATGGATGGTCGAGGATAGCCACTGAGCTGTCTAGGGTTGGGCGATGCGGCTAGAGCAGGGGCTGGTTGGGGATTTTGACGAAGAGGTTAGGGCAGTGGGGTTAGGGTTGGGGGTTGCTGGAGCGTGGGTTGGGATTGGGGTTACCGGTCTTCGAGGAGAGACAGGGACGGCGGTGACAGTGGGTGGCGAGCGTTGGTGTTGGTGTTCATAATTTTGCCGGAAAAAGTCGACGGAAAATTATCCGGTCGATTATAGTGACACACAATGCAGTGATAGTGACATTCGTAAGTCACGTAAAGTGACATAAAAATTTGATAGTGACAAAATTCGAGTGACACAAAGAAATTATAGTGACATAACAGACCTGCAGTGACATTTTTCCAAATATATGACCTTATTAGTAACATTTTTGTCAATATCTAAAAGTAGTCACACTTATGGAAATTGACTTCTATTTAGTAATACTTAGGGCAAAACCCCAAGAAAAAATTATATGTAAAAATAGCTAAATTGATCATTTAAAGTACGAGTAAATGAATAACAGCTAATTGCAAAAAACACCACTATTACTAGGGTTTGATACATTCCCCCACACCACTATCATGAATGTTGCAAAGTTCCTGTGAATTGAATTTGCGTCACTTCCTAATGTACTAATTCAATTCCCATCACCCAAATCGGATCCAAACGAGGCCTAAACTTGGTTTAATAGTCCACTAATACAGATTTGAATTGCATAATGATGGTCGGTGGTCACATAACATAGCAGGCATTAGGGTTCTCATCGCTCAAAATCTCAAAAGAATCCAACGGCCGGCATCGCATGGCGTGGACCTCCGCTGGCGTGTACGGTGCCGGTGCCGGTGGCGGCGGGTAGTAGTACGCTGGGCCACCGGTTCCGCCCGCCGGGTGCGCCGCCGCAGCAGCACTGTAATTCACGACGTAACCCTGTTGGGGCGCATAAAGATAGCTCGGTGGGTATTGGTTCGGATACGGGCGGCCCATATTCCCTTGATCCAAACCCACATAATGGGGGCCCATCCCCACCATCGACGGTTCGTTTCCGGCGTTCGCCGGCGCACCCACACAACCTGGTCCCGCCGCCGCCGTGTTCTGAGCTCTCTTTTTCTTCTTCTTCTTTTTCTTCTTTTTGGCACCCTTATCCGCACCTTCTCCGGCGGCCTGTGCATTTCCCGGCGGCGGCAGGACGTCAAATTTAACTACCGGCTTCAGAGTGCTCTGTTTCATCATACTCTCTGCTGCTACCGGCGGCTTCTGATCTTCTTCCTCTTCATCATAGTCTTCGTCCTCATCTTCATAATCATCATCATCGCTGTTTTTCTTATCTTTCTTTCCCTTAGATTTCTTTTCTTTTTCAGGTGGCGGCCAAATCTCTGCGTTCTTCCCGGACTTGAGTAGCTTCTTGATCAAGGCCTCTGCTTCAACGTTGCCAGTAACCATCACTTTGTGTTGCTTCTCATCAATATCTATGATGTAAACTCCTGGTATGCCGGAGAAAAGAAACAGAGTTAAACAATCAGATATTCTTATCAGTTCAAGAAAGACAACAAGATCACAAAAACATGAGGAAAATTGAATAGAAAGTAATAAAGGTTGAAGCTTAAACTACCGTCGACGCTTTGTAAGATCTTCTTGACTTTTTTCTTGCATGCTTGACAGTGAATTGGAACTTTCAAAACCCATGTCTGCAAAATAGCAAAAAGAAACAGAGTATTGAAATGAAGAGGAGGAATAAAGGGTGGATCAGTTATATATAATGCATATATACCTTGTAAGGTAGGGGGCTTGGTGGAGGTGATTGTTCTTCAGGGGGTGGGGGCTGTTCTGTGGAGGCCATGGATGAGTACAAGAGAGCAGAGGAATATGAACAGATGGATGGTGAGATGAGAGGTTTGACAAAGTAAAGATAGAGAAGTTGGAGCAGTTTTAGGTATGGCGGTGATGGAAGCTGGTGGTGGCCATGTCTGACTATGTATGGATGTTAGAGCATCTTCAAACTAACACGCACAATCAACACCTGGCATTTTAGTTCAAATTCATTGAAGTATTAAGAAATCAGTAATTTGGACATTTTTTATATGATTTCTATTCGTCACAAATAATTTTTATAGATGAATATTAGGTGGTTAATGTTGAATTACTAAACGAAAAATAAGATAAAGAATGATTTAGAATGCACAAATTTTACCAATTTTGATACCGAGTATAAGATAATTTTTTATCTTACGAAAAAAAATCGGAAGTGGGGGATTTGTGACGGAAAGAAAAAGAAAAATAACACTCTTCGTGGGACGGTGATTAAAGGAATTTACAGAGTTTCTTATTAATTTTTTATGTGTCGGATTAAAGATCATAGTCTAATTAATATTCAGATGGCTCATCAACACAAAGCCCACGCCGTAACTACATTTCAACTTGGTTATGTATTCATATTAGGATTATTAGGGATTGTGTACTAATTAAAGAGTTTCATTTCATAAGCAATAGCTCAATGTTGTGTACTCTTTTGGTTCCAAAAGTAAAATTCGTTTGCATTTTGCACAAATTTAAGAGAAAAACAGGTATAATAATTGTTCTTTTGCGATTGTAACATTCAAAAAAATGTAAGAAAAAATAGTACTATCAAACTATCGATCCATAAAAACAAAAACAAAAATAAGATAAAAAAAGAAGATAAAATAAGAAAGTAAAAAATTGGTGAACTCCAACGTTGTGTTGATAGTGTTGATATTCTTGTGTAGATAAGTCAAGATTGTATTTACATAAGGTGTTTTTTATAACGTACTCTAAACTAGTCTAATAAACGTCTGGTCTCTGTGTATTTCATAACGTACTATACAAGTTTGATCTAGTTTAGTCTGATCAATCCAAGAAAAAACACCCATAATCTAGACAAACTCTTCATTCCTCAACATTTACAAAATACAACTCTTACATGCTTAGGAAAGTTTTTTGTTTGGTTGATTAAAATTCAAACGAAAAAGGGAATAAATATTTTTTAAAAGTAGTGCGAAGAGAATATCACCATTCTCCGGCCTTTCAGTATATCCATGAAACTTGAGCGTTACAGCTCTCTTGCCTAATGGGTTGAAAGATGCTTCGGATATAACTATAAAAAAACTATTCCATGGAATAATTTCCAATTAATATCAATATCAAAGACTTATCAGGAGGCGATAGGAATAATACTTTCCGTTTAGGATCGTGACATAAGCTCTAGAACCTGATAAGAGTGGACATACTTTCAATAGAGCACAGACAATTCCCAGTTGACAAATCCATAGCTCGAATGGACAAATGCAGATACATAAATACATACATATGGAAGAATAAAAGTGGTGTAGAACACAACAGTGATGACAACACCGTCTACTTTGCTGTCTCATTAACGTCCTGTTCAGACGGATCCTCGGCCTTATTTCCATTGTTCTCAGTTTTTGCACCGCTTTCAGCTTCTTTGACTTCATCAACATCCTGAAGCTGCACCGCGTTGATTTTACAATAAACTATGTCATGACTTCAATAGATATTGCCATATTGGGCACTTATCATAAGGTCATGGCGATAAATTTGAGCACATAAAATGGGTAAAGGCATAACGAGAGGCCAAGGAAGGGCTTGTTGGGTTGGGGAAGTCTAGATCAGAGGGGGTGTTGATTTTTTCACTAATTTATATGCATCTTTTACTCTCAAGCCTCAAGTATGAAAGCATCTGCTCTTATTGTTTCAAAGAAAAGGTGATGTTTGGTCGATGTACAGCGTTCTAATATTGGCAGAAGCGTGAAGAGTATGAAATCATATTTCTATTTTAAAAATTAATTTTAACTTTAGCTATGTGTGTCATGTTTACTTACTTTTAAAGTTTTTTGAGACATCATTGACAAAATACATGAAAAAATAGCATCGTACCACAAATACTGTAAAAGAAAATATAAAAGGGCAGCCCTGGAACATGGCCACCACAAGAGTGTATAGGGTAGGGATGGACTAAACCGGGCCGGCCCGACACGGAACCGGCCCAGCCCGTTACTGTTTGGGCCCGGACCGAACCGGAACCGGTTGGCCGGTTCCGGGCTTTAGCCCGATTGGGCGGGTCGGGCGGGCCGGGCTCGGGCCCAACTTTTGGTGAACCGGCCCGGGCGGTTCGGGCCAGGCCCGGTTCAAATTTTTTTTTTTGTTTTTTCAATTTTTTTTTCTTTTCTAGGTTAGGGTTGGGTGTTTTGGGGGGGGTTGGGGGGTGGGGGTGAGGAGGGGGGTCGGGTGTTAATTAGAAACCAAAAACAAAAATTAACTTGACCTGGGCCCGGCCTGGCCCAGCCCGGTTACGCCCGGACCCGGTATCAACCTGGGCCGGTTCCGGGCCCAACATTTTGCAAAAAAAGCCCGCCCGGGCCCGGAACCGGACCGGCCCGGGTCCATCCCTAGTATAGGGGACCATCTTTATTTATCATTTTGACAAGACTCTGCTTCCCAGACTAGAATATGTGACCTCTTGGTCACACAACAACACCTTAAGTGGTGCGTCAATGCTTGCCTTCTACAAAAAACATGTTAACCAGACACTCTGTTGGGCAGAGGCACAGTTTAATCATGCATTTTTAATTATTTATATAGCTTTTCATATTCAATTTCTTTTTAACTATGCAAGTGTAAGAAAAAATTAATAAAATAAATAACACCTATACCCTTCCCTCCCCTGAAATCCCCCAACAAATGTCAGTAAGTGATAAGACAGCTTACCCCCAGGTTTCTTAGGCTGGCTGTAACATCGTCCTGCTGCTGTTGAAGGGTACTTTTCAATAGTTGAAAATCCTAGTTGAAAGAATGAAATTAGTACATAGGTGACACTGTTGGGGATTAGGCAATAGATAGAACTAGGTGTACACGTTTTTGTACGTTTTTCATTTATACCCCCTAAAATTTCCGAAATTGTCTGTGTAGAGAGGCGACTAGGCGAGTGTATAAAAAATGTATACTTTTTGTGTACACCAAGAATTGCTCTAAGCGATACGGGTACAATAAACAACTATACAAGCTTCTTGGCAATAAATTATTCAGCCCTTACAGATCGAAGTTGATCCACCTCCCCATTCAGTGATTTTTTAAGATCAGAAAGCTCCTGTGAAATTCAAAGAACGAACTCTGTAGGCAACATATATAAGATAAATGACAGAATAGAATAAAATACAAGTCATTACTATCAAATTTTATTCAAGTAACCAATTCCACATAGTGACATAGGTTTTGTTTAAATGTTATTTAAATCGAACAACAAGCAACTACGTAGTATTTTGCAAGCACGAAGCAGAGTATTGATTCTTTACAAGAATTGACAAAAGGGTTAAACCATAACAGAGCATTTATGATGCAATAATTGCAAATAATATGCTTATTCATTCAAACACAAATATTATGTCAAAAAAAAAGTTTTATGCAAATAACTCTAGTTCAGTAATAATCCAAGCATATATTGTCTGTCAAGTCATCCAACAACATGTCAACATCCAAGCCTTAGTCATAGTATACCCAATAATAATACAAGAGGGAGTAATTCACAGAACTGTTACTGGAAAAGTATACATAACCTAAAACTTTATACACACATTATAGAATGAATATATTGGTTGAAAAGCTTACATCTCGGTAGACTTTAACTTGGGTGTCCAACTTTGATCTCCAACTTTGCAAATCCTAGGGTTAAAAGAATACTCGCATTTAGGGCAGGAAATTTGACCAAATCATTGATTGTACGAAAATACACATACAAACACGCAAGTAAAGAGGCTACCTGTTTCAAATTCTGAATTCTACTGATAAGCTCTTGCCTTGATTCGCTCAATTCCTTCAAGGAAAGAAAAAAGTAAAGAATTAAGCAAATTTCCATCGAAACAGGTTTGAAATCCCAACACGTTATCCAGCCACATTGTGTGCGTAACCATCCAGGCATGGAAACTTACAGCAATCTTGGTACTAACAGGAACTGCATCCTCTTTCTTCTGTTAAACCAAACACAAAACACCTGAATCTATCAGATCGTAGTTCACAATAAAGTAGGGCGGCTTTCACATTAAAAAAATGTCAAATTTTAGTAACGTCATGATAAACACGAAAAACAAATGAATGTAACGATAATGTTAGCATTTTATGCTTTGGAGCTCGAAACCAAGTGCACATCCGACTGAAGATGCGATTGCATACCTCTATAAGCGGGGCGGAAGGATCGGAGGCGGTGGAATCGGCAGTAGCCATCGGAAATGCGCGAGCTAACTCTGGCACTGAAGGAAATTAAAGAAGCTAACTTGCAGAAGATGATAGTGGAGTAGTCCGTACGAGAATGAGGATGAGATTAAGGAAATTCAAATTTTTGGCAAGTGGTTGTGATTGGGCGGGCGTGTATTTAGGGTTTGTGGATTTTAAAATTTCAAGTTGTGAGTTTATTGCTTACTTCAATTAACGTATTTAAGCTGTCGGCAGTCTGCAGCAAATTGCTATTTGCCCCATCTCAAAGTTTCCACTAATAAATGATCTTAAAAGGTAGAGTAAAAAATACTCCGTAAATCATACGTAGTATTGAATGTACTTAAAAAGTGATTTATTTAAGTGATCGTGAAAAAGTGATTTAAAATTAAAGTAGGTAGTGTTTGTAAATGGAAGTCATTATGAGAAAAAGGGAAAAAATGAAGTGTTTAATATAAAAGTGATTTTTGATATAAAATTAAATTACACAACTACCCTTTCGTAAATTAAATGTAAATCCATGTTATCTAGAAAGTTACTATTTCTGTCCCGCTATGATTGTCTCATTTTATCTTATCAGTCTGTCCCACCAAAATTGTCTTATACCAAATTTGGTAAAGTTTGTGTGGCTCTAAATCATTCTTACCTTATTCTTACTTTATCGATTCAATATGAACCACATAAACCACTTTTTATTAATTTGCGTGTCACTCCTTCTTGTCCATTATTAGCGGGATGGATGGAGTATTTCCCTATAGATGAATGTGGAGCTCCTTGATTCAGGTCAAGTCAGGCCTAATTAATACAATTAGCACACAAATATAAAGATAATAAATAAAATTGAACACAATAAAAATGTCCTAACATCAACGATCACTTAAAAGCGTTGAAATTTAAGTTAAAGATTGGGTTTACAAACATTAACTTTAGTTTTTTCAACCAAAAGAGTTGAAAAAGTGCTTTTAAAAAGCAAATGAAAACAGAGTCTTAGTGTTAAAGTAGTATATCAATTAAATTGAAATGTTAATATTACTGAGTTGCCTAACGAAATACTAATATGTCACAAAAGTCATGTCAATTGTTTATACAGTCATTAGGACGTTCGAAACTCTAGATTTTACCACAGCATCACTCTCAACTTCACCCCAACGCGTTGGCTACCTACACGAAGATTCATCAAAGGATTATTATCAAACACCTGTCTTCCTACTTTGGAGATATCTTGCACCATCACTGCCATCCAATCCTCCCTCTTTGCAGGGATGCGTTTAAGCGGGTAGGCACGACAGAGGTTCAATGTGGAGTACAACTACTTCAAAGTCGGGTCGATGAAACTTCTGATAGACCTATCGAGTTTCATTTTCAAAAACACGAGGCTGGCGGTCGACAAGCTGGTGGACAAATTTTTATTAATCGAGGAAGTTGAAAAAGGGTGAAGGAGCAAATTGCCTCATTGATTTCTGAATGCAAGATGATATAAGGTAAACCAATGAGGCAAAGGAGAACGGCGGCGATGTTGATTTCGTCTTTAGCCATTGGGATAGCAGCATGCATCTATTTGACTTCCCCTTCGCCGCTCAAGACAATTCCACTTCTGCTCTAGCGTGGGTGGTGGCGCTCTTGAAGTCTCACTTGAATGATCTCGGGGGAGTGAGAACTGAAGTGAATAGATATTGATCGCCGGAATTAATCAGCTATGGGATCGAGCACCTCGGGGGAATGAGGATGGGATGTTGTTGAGTTAGACTCCACCATGTACAAAACAAAACATCTACATATTGTCATGTTAGTGTACATGCTCCATCATATTCCCATTGCAACGCCATTGTCACCTCTGCTGCTCCCTTCCTCCGTCGATTTGTTCCTCCGTCGTCTGATCTGGTCTGTGCCTTCATCATCAGCAACATTTTGTCTTCTTCTCCTTTATTCTGTCCGCAAACACCATCCACACTCCCGATACTAAAGCCCAATCGGAGACCTAGATTTAGGGTTTCTGGTTAGGAGTCGACGGCAGACCAAAATAGATGTGAATGTCGGCGACAGGATGGTGGCAAGATTGTTCGGGACTATAAGGGCGGTGATGGTTACCGATTTTGGGGCAGCGACTTCATCGTTGTTCATGTCAAGCTCAGGCGAGTTGGGCCATGTGAGGGGGCTGGATCTGGGATGGGTTGGTGTGGAGCTCGAATTGGGGAGGGACAAGGGTGGTGCAAGGTTGGTGTTCGAGTAGCGGGGTGGGGAGAAAGGGGTGGGAGCGATAATGTATTTGACGGGACTGGCAGTCACTGGAGGCGGCGACGTCAATATATAGGTGTGCAGAGGCTAGAAAGTTGAGGTGGTGGTTAGGGCGGGGTGGTGCATTGACGATCAGTGGTGAAAACAGGATTCGTGACTTGCAGAGGCTCATTAACAAAGAAATCATATATATCACGTATATACCAATAAACAAAACTATAAAATTTAAATAAAACAACTAATGAGTATGTATATATGACTCAACCTCAAGGTTTTGTTGAAATGTATGGGCTCAAACAAGCTCCCCGAGCATGGTATCTTGAACCCCAAATGTATGGGTTTTCGAAAGTCCAAAGCTGATGCATCTTTATTCATTTATTCTCATTTGGGGTTCACATTTATTTTATGGTATATGTGGATGATATTGTTATCACCACATCCTCAGCTCATGTCGTGGAATCTTTTATTTGCCAACTTACCTCTCGGTTTTCTGTCAAGGACCTTGGTGACCTTCATCATTTCCTTAGTATTGAGGTATATTCGTATATTTCTTTCTCAACAACAATATATTTTGCACATACTTGAAACTTGGAATATGCATCAAGCCAAGGGGGCAGTCAAGCCAATGCCTTCCACTTCACCACCACATCGTATGGATGGCATGCAAGCTGCAAACGCGAGACAGTGTCGTCGTGCACTAGGACTGCTGCAATATTTAGCTTTTACTGGTCTGGACATTTCCTTTACTAGTAATAGACTTTCTAAGTATATGCAAAATTGTATGGACTGATAGCTGCTCTATAATAAAGAAGCGCAGACAATTTAGTTAGTCATTTTACTTTATTCTATAATAATGAATCTTTGACTATTGCAAATGATGAAATGTCTTACATCAAATTGTAAGATCCCAAAATTGGTGAATTATATGGAGTATCATTTACATTTTAACGCACTCCGTATGAGATAGATACTCTAGTACTCCGTATTTTACAATAAGAAGTCTTTGCCTTCTGTACGTTTAGAGATATGTTCGCTCAACTTTTACAGAATTTAGAATGACGTGTGTTGATAAGATCTAATTAAGTTTATACAATCATAATAAAATACTCCGTACGAAGTTTAAGATTATTCCAATACCTGGGAAACAATGTACAAATGGTAATAATTACTCCGTATATGGCTACAATTTAGACGCAAAAGTAAAAACATATAGCCGCCGATTAAAAGTCAAATCCGCCGTCTCCAAATCCGCCGTCCCCAAAGCCAGCATCATATCCGGCATCATAATTAGCGGCGTCTGACATTGCATCTCCGATTAGCATACCCCCCAAGGCACCGCCTAGTAACCCGGCTCCTAATCCCAGCCCGAATTTATTCTTCCTTGCCGGTTGTTGGACGGGTGGATATCCGTATCCTGGATGAGGTTGTGGCGGGTAGCCACCGTACGCCGACGGAGGCGGATATCCGTACGTAGGTGGAGGATACCCTCCTGGAACCTGCTGATAGGCTCCGGTAGCCGGCTGCCAATTAGGGGGTGGCTGTGCGGGAGCAGCAGAATACGCCGAACTTTGCCCAACGGCAGGAGTAAAAGCCGGATAAGCCGTTACGGGTTCATCCACCTTACTATTAGCAGCCGCCTCCGCGTGTACGCCGCCGATTTTGTCGCTGAACTGGTAAGAGAACGTGATTTCACCTCTCTGCTTCCCGGACGGCCTCCTCACCTGATAACTGACGAATTGCTTCGTATTCACGCCTGCCGGAGAGTCGAGGAGTTCCTTAATCGGAACGACGACTTCGCCGACATCCTTATCCCCCAAAGCGCGCTCGCAGCGGATCTTGAAGACGAGCATCAGGCGGTTCTGGCGTGCGGCGGCATCGTCGATGGTGAATTTGATGGGGAAATTCCAGGCAGGGTTAGATCCACCTTCGCGATCGGCCGGGGTCCTGAGCGTCTGATTCGATTTGGCGTCTCCGCCGGAGACGGAAACGACGACGTAAACATTCATCCTGGAGAAAAAGGTGACCTTCTTGAGATCTTTGGCGGACATGATTTTTAATTCCAAAGTTCGAAAATCCATATTGGATTGAAGAACGTTTACGAAAATGAGGATAGGGTTTTGAGATCTGTCTATCTTCTAATAATAATAATACGTAAAATAAGATAGAAAAGATAAGGGCGGAGGGTATATATATGGGGAGGAAGCAGAGAAGGGAAGAGATGGCGGTGAGGGGGTGGAACCTTCGCGATGGGAACGAAGGAAGGAAAGGGAAGAGGTTTTGGTGTCTCTAAACGCGTTGCAGTGTCCTTATGCTACCAGGTCAGGAGTCAAGAGTCACAAGTCTAATTTATGTCCCATATTATGGGGAAAGAGTTTTTTTTTTACGAAAGAAAAATCGGTATCATCAATAGGGCAGATCACGGGTCGGGTTCGGGCGGGTCAGGTTCAAAAACGGTAAACTCGTTCGTCTATCGAATTGATAATTTTAAACTCTACCTTATCAAAAAATTTATCGGGTTTTTCGGGTTGAAGAAATTCGGGTTGCGGTCGGGATGATACGATTTTAATTTATTATTGTTGAAATTGTGATAAATAAAATGATAATTGGTAAAAAATATCATTCAAAGTTATACTATTATAACATTCAAAGTAATAGTTGTATAAATATGGTAATCGACATATTTGAACATGTAAAATTATAATATACAGTGATTGACATATTTGATATTGTGATAAATAAAATCATAATTGGCCAAAATATCATTCAAAGTCATAACAACACAACATTCAAAATTATAGTTGTACAAATACGGTAATTGGAATATTTGAACATATATAATATGGTAATTGACATACAATAATTGAGATATTTGAACATGCATAATAATTCAAAGTAGTATATATATACTACGCTAGTTCGGTTTTTTGGGCGGGTCGGGTAGCATAATTGGTAACTAGGGTTTAGAGTTTAGGGTTTAGGGTTTAGTGTTTAGGGTTTAGGTATTTCAGTTTATTGTATCCGACCCCAACAAAAAAAAACGGATATATCCAATCGGGTCAATCGGGTAGGGTCGGGTTTGCTCTCCCCTAATCATCAATTAATTAAAACTTTAAAAGCCTCTATGTTTTTCGACTTATCAAGTTTATCAGTCTACTTTTTAATTAAACACGTACTTTTTTATTTTCGCGCTGAATTGTGTAATAATAATAAAAATTTTGGTTGGAGTTACTTTTCTGGTTGTATTGGCTGAAGTTATTTTAGATGGCTATTTTAGCTATTTTTCATATAGTTTTTTCTTTATTTTATTAATAAAATATATTTTGAATATAATTTTTTCCATAAATCAGCATGATCAGCCAATACAGTCACTTCAGCCAGAACTTCATAAATTTCAGTCGATTCAGCCGATTCCAATGCTACCAAACGGGCTCTAAATATACTTTTAGTGCTAATATTTTATTTTACATTTTTTGATATTTTTGCAAAGTTTAAGTATGCCTTTAGTCATTTTCCTAGTGTTTACTTAGGAAAAGGATTATATCAAGAGTTTGGAATAAGGTGGCTTATATGGATATCACAACATTCAGGTATGGAACAAACAGATAAAAGGACAACTTCCAATTCAACCGTCACTCCTCGAACCAGACTTAGAGTCAATCACCTTTCAGAAAACAATATGACTAGTTGATCCTGTAATGGGCATAACTGAGCCAAAGACGGTCAAAACAAACCTCTCATCACTCAATCCTAGTGCAAGAGTTTGACAAAACAAAAAATAGAACGTGAGAACAAACATAGTCTAACCAAAAGAAAAGGCAAAAATATAAACAACATTATTAAGCTTGAGCTGCAACCCCATACCATGAGGGGCCCATGTTGTCCTTCCTTGACATAAAGCTTCCTTAGAACTCTCATCAGACCCCAAACTACTTTCTGGCACGGAGGTGGTTCTAGAGATGGACAAGTTGTTGTAGTGTGGGTGAAGGCTAACTCCCTTTTTCAAATTTCTTTTTTGATAGAGAATTTTGTCCCTTGCACCATCGACCGCCTCTTTAATCACCAAACCCTTCTCTTCGTCCTCCATAGTCAACCTGTAGTATTGCTCCTCAAACTTCTCCATTGAAATCACCAAAGTCGAACAAACTACCGGTTGCAGGCGTTAAACCCCACCGGAAAAACAAACCCTAGAAAACCCTACACAGGCGCAGAGCAGACGAACAGAGACCTACTGGCTAGCAAATAGAGACGTTGTGCGCCGACATGTGGTCAGCATGAGCCGAGAGTGTGTGGCCCACAGACGAAGAGAACGAGCCGATTGAGTTACGCCTTCTAGACTTCGAGCTGCGAAGAGGACGACCGGACGATGCTTGATGTCAGTCAAAACGGAAGAACTCGGCTATAGGTCTTCTTTATTAAGAGCTCAACTTTTTATTTAAATACTGTAACAATCAAAATAAGTAAAGTTGTAGTTACTTTTTAAGAATTGATTGAAGTTACTGTACATGACTATTTAAATTGTTTTTCATATAATTTTCTTTAATCTACTAATAAATATATCTAAATATTTTTTCATAATTCAAAAAATTCAGTCACTTCAGCTAGTATTTCATAAATTTCAATAAATCCAGTCGTTTCAGACATAGTTTGACTACATGTAAATTCTTAATGCAATCAGTGGACATTAGTAACTGGCTATAATCCTATAAACTTACTATTGTATAATAGTAAATCATACTCGGTATTAACATCTTTGATTTGTGTTTAAATACTTTTTAAGGAAAAATAAATGTCTAGTGTGGTAGCACTAAAATACTTTTATATCTCGTTTTGTATGTGTTACCTCAACTTACAATTTTGATAGAGCTTAAATCTAAAGATTTCCAAATAATTTTTTATTCTATTCTATATTAATGATACAATATAGGACCAAAACATGCACAAAGTTAAAAAACAGGACTTAGCATATTTTATACCCCAATAGGACCTTTTTCGTCCTATTAAAAGAATGTGTTTATTAAATTAAAACTTTACAAAATAGGAGTAAATGAGTCATATTTTAGGAATAACACATTGACAGTCCTATTTATGAAATTTATCAATATGTTAGTCCTATTTAGGGATTTTTCTCAAAAAAATTATATGTACGTGATGGTACCATGGATCATAACCATGGCCCAAGACTGAATTAAAGATAAGTCCATCGACAGGATCAGCTCATTAATCAGGATTAATAATTAATAATAGCTGTTGGGCCTGATTATGCATTCAACCCGCGAAAGGAACCCACAACCAGGCCAGGCTGGACAACAGACATCGAGTCTGGGCAGAGTTCTAGCGAGGTCAGACTCTTCTTATGACTTATGTGGCAAACTATCATTCGTGCATAGTTATCTGGCAACGACAGAAATAACGGAAGAAACATGGATCTAGAGGAACAATGATCGCACAACGTTTGAGACGTTACAAGACTCTATTCTAATTAATTGCATTGAATGTATCAGTTTCCTCCTAGAATACTAGTACCTAAGGTTTATAAATACTTCATGTACATATCCTACCAAGGATCCGAATACCGAAATAATAATACTTCCTTACACTGCCTAAATTTCATCTGCTCTCGTAGATTAGCTCTCGTAGTTGAAATAAACTCCATCAGTACGTTTATAGTTGATAGGAGAATAAAATCTACAAAATTAAAGTGTAAGCATAAATAGAAAAAAGATTACAGAAATCGAAGTACAATCTAATTAAATTGGGTATAAGTTTTCGCGCATTGCGCGTAAAATCGCTAGTCTATAATATATACCTTATTTGTATGTATATACTCCATCCGTTCCATAAAATTCTTCCCACTTTCCTTTGTGGGTCGTCCCAAAAAATTCTTCCCACTTACCAATTTTGGACAATTTTTGTGATTCACATTCATTTCACCTTTTTCTTAAACAATCACAACCATACATTTCCACTTTATTCCACTTTCTTAATCTCCGTGCCAAGTCAAAGTGGAAAGAATTTTAGGGGACGGAGGTAGTATTTATTTATATATGTTATGGTTCGCGAGCTAAGAGAAATTAAGCTCGAGCTCGGCTCGATTCTTAACGTGTTGGATCGAGTTTGACCGAACTCAAATCCAATTTTGATTGAGCGGCTCACGAGTAGCTCATGTCCTCGAGAGCCACTTGACTCATTTGTACACTTAGTTATTTTTACGCATTTAAATAAAATGTTCATAATTTTTGTAGTTTGGCTATTTTAATTTGACTTTGGGCCTCATTACTCGAAAATTAAGGGGCCTACAATATCCAAACAAGAGCTTAGAGGTTAAAATGCTCGAGTCGTGTGCTTTGAACGAATACCCCCCCCCCCCCCCCCCCAATGTTAAAGCATCCCAGGCTCTAAACACTTCTCAGAAATTTGAATGTCGATTAAACGCTTGGGTTTGTAATTCAAACCGAAAATCGTGTGCTACGGATGTATCGCCCTACAAGCCTATAGGAGAACACAATAACTCGTACACAAGCACATGATCAAGTATTGGGAATATGCCCTAAGAAAATCATAATTTATGATTATTAGGGATATTTATTACTCATTAGTTAATAAAACTACAAACTTATTTTATGTTGATTATTATGGGTTTTTATATTAATATTTAGTCTATGAATAGTATGATTAGTACTTAATTAAGTACGTGACTTAGTTGTGGGATGCTACACATTCTTAAGCAGAATATTCTAACGAGTCCTTAGTCTACTATTATTGATATGGGACATTACTAATTAATAAACTAGCATGTGGATTAGCTAATGACTATATTCCACTAATTATAGGTATAGAGATATCAAATTAATAACATATATACTTGTTAGAAAATAAATTTATTGGACAGACCCTGATGTGCTATTTTCTTTGACAAGGATTTTTCCTCACATGTTTTTTTTCTAATGAGGTTTTAACGAGACACTTCCTCAAATGAACATGGGAAGAGGTCTTCCGGACGAGACAAGAAAGACCGCATGCTACCAACCAGACAAAGAATACATTGGCCGCTATTAACCGGACAAGGAAGACTCTAGATTGCTAACCGGACAAGGAAGACCTCGAGCTGCTAATCGGGCAGCGAGACCCCATTCTTTCATAAGTAATAGGGATCAAATTCAAGACTTGTTAATGGGTGGGCAGCCAAACTACCAAACTGATTGAATCCAAAGCCACTTAACTACCAGATCTTTCCTTGTACAATTTAATTACACTTAGGGAAGACATTTAGGAGCCAAACTTGGTTTACACTTCATCACTTCATGTTATATGAAGATAGATATCTTACCTTGTACTAGTATAATTCAATTACACTTTAAGAATGATTTTTTTCCTCATTTGTTGTCATCTTCCAAATTCTAGCCACGCGGTCACTCCAAGGCGTAGGAGAGGGACGGAGCGTTAAAACTTCATATTCCTTGTTCATCTCAGCGTCCATAATCCGTTCTTCACTGTAACAAGCCTCTTCATATCATGTTGCTCTATGGGAGAATGAAACTGTGCAAAGCATAGAAGTCTCACACCAAATATGGTTGGAATAGCCTTTGATGTTGAGAACAAGCATTGAACACAATCGCCGGTCAAAAAGAAGAAAAAACATCAGAAGAACACGCAAAAGTATATGACTACACAAAAACCCTACATGGGGAGGGACCCGTCCATTGTTGAATGGATCCTATTTTATTTGGTTCCACATTATGACTTCATAGTATATAAAGATTAAATATCTTACCTCATACTACTATGGCTCAAGACCCATATCTAGGACTCAACTTGCCACTTGGGTTTGTAATTCAAACCGAAAGTCGTGTGCTACGGATGTCTCGCCCTATGAGTCTCTAGGAGAACACAATAACTCGTACATAAGCACATCATCAAGTGTTGGGAATATGCCCTAAGAAAATCATAATTTATGATTATTAGGGATATCTAATACTCATTAGTTAATAAAGCTACAGACTTATTTTATGTTGATTACTACGGGGTTTTTGTATTAATATTTAGTCTATGAATATTATGCTTAGTACTTAATTAAGTACGTGACTTAGTTGTGGTATGCTACACATTCTTAAGCAGAATATTCTAACGAGTCCTTAGTCTAATATTATTCATATGGGACATTACTAATTAATAAACTAGCATGTGGATTAGCTAATGACTATATTCCACTAATTATAGGTATATGGATATCAAATTAATAACATATATACTTGTTAGAGAATAAATTTATTGGACACACCCTGGTGTGCTATTTTCTTTGACAAGGATTTTTCCTCGCATGTTTTTTTTCTAATGAGGTTTTAACGAGACACTTCCTCAAATGAACATGGGAAGAGGTCTTCCGGACGAGACAAGAAAGACCGCATGCTACCAACCAGACAAAGAATACATTGGCCGCTATTAACCGGACAAGGAAGACTCTAGATTGCTAACCGGACAAGGAAGACCTCGAGCTGCTAATCGGGCAGCGAGACCCCATCCTTTCATAAGTAATAGGGATCAAATTCAAGACTTGTTAATGGGTGGGCAGCCAGACTACCAAACTGGTTGAATCTAAAGCCACTTAACTACCAGATCTTTCCTTGTACAATTTAATTACACTCAGGGAAGACATTTAGGAGCCAAACTTGGTTTACACTTCATCACTTCATGTTATATGAAGATAGATATCTTACCTTGTACTAGTATAATTCAATTACACTTTAAGAATGATTTTTTCCCTCATTTGTTGTCATCTTCCAAATTCTAGCCACGCGGTAACTCCAAGGCGTAGGAGAGGGACGGAGCGTTAAAACTTCATATTCCTTGTTCATCCCAGTGTCCATAATCCGTTCTTCACTGTAACAAACCTCTTCATATCATGTTGCTCTATGAGAGAATGAAATTGCGCAAAGCATAGAAGTCTCGCACCAACATTGGTTGGAATAGTCTTTGATGTCAAGAACAAGCATTGAACACAATCGCCGGTCAAAAAGAAGAAAAAATCTCAGAAGAACACGCAAAAGTATATGGCTACGCAAAAACCCTACATGGGGAGGGACCCGTCCATTGTTGAATGGATCCTATTTTATTTGGTTCCACATTATGACTTCATAGTATATAAAGATTAAATATCTTACCTTATACTACTATGACTTAATTAGTTAATTATACTCTAGGAGGGAACTTTGGAGTCAAAGTTTGTTGTCATTTCTTACTTTATACTTCCTCCCTATTTTAAAGTTTGTTACACTCTTTTTTTGAGATGTATTTAAAAGGTTTGCTACTCTTTCTATTTGATAAAATTTTCCTTTAAAAACACTTGGTTTTTATCTTTCTTTTCATATTTTCACACTTTTTCTCATAGTTTTTCCATACTATTCGTTATTCATGCTTAAATAATGTGTAAAATACGGTGGAAGTAGTATCTACATCGTATGCAGTATTATTTATACGGAGTATAAAGATTAAGAAGATCTGTAATGAAGTCCTCAAGAACAAAGTCAACACAGCTAACTTATCCTGAATTTTAAGCGGAAGCGGAAAATAAAACAAAATAGCTGCAGCCTCCTACGGTCCTACCGACGTTGCTGCAATGTGGTTCATCTTAATTTTCAACATGTGAAAATAATTGGAATCTATCAGCCCGGTAAGTTTAATTCCTCTTCAACGTTAATTTTGTGCACTTTGAAGAAAGTCAACAAACCTAATATGGTGGTGCAGTTAAGAATTTGATTGGGAATTTTTCTGTTTCTTCCTCTTCTTCATGATTGCCTATAAATTTAGAAACATGAAAATAAGAAATTCAGTGATGGGGATATTTCATTTCATGTAAGAAAATTGCAATTGGTTCATACTGTCAATTCCAAGCTGGTTCAATCGTGGCTTTTTTGTTGGTTTGACTACTCCATTCCTACGGACCCCCACCACACCCTTTACCCACCCCTTGAATCTTCCCTTTTTTCCTCAGAAAAACTCGCTCTTTCCTTTTCCACATTTGTGTTTATTTGACTTGCGTTTGGGGTTCTCTACTTCTCTATTTCCCAAAGATCAATTACATTGTACTGGTAGCTTTGTAATCAGCAAAGATCCAGTCTTTTGCTCAAACAGAGTTCAAGATCAGTTAAATTTGCTGAGGTAATTTGCTTTTCATTTCTTTCTTGATATCTCCTCGTCAAATTTATACAAAACTTCTGATTCCAGAGAACTCTATGTCCCCGGTAAGGTCACATACTTGCATCACATATGCCCTCATCTGTTTTTGATAATTTAAATGAATATACTTGAGTGATTTCCCCTGATAATTTTCTTACTAGTTTCAGTTGATTTATGTTTTTATAAACCTTATGTTGTAAACTTGTAAAGTTAGGTTGTGGTGGAAACTTGAAAGAGAAATTATGTTTGTTGGATCTAGATTCGTTTAGTATCTTGTTCTGTCATATGTGTTATATATAATGTTTTTTATATGTACCCTCACTCTTGTATGTATAGTTAGCTCCGTGTTTCCCTAAAAGGTGAGGTTAAACATATTCAGTCATACTACATCTGCCTCTTATGAAAATACAAACCCATATACGATAGTATATGTTTCTTGAGCTATTTCGTGCTGTCATGTTGACTTTTGGATAGACTTAACACAGTATTAGAACGCGTCAAACTCCAACAAGATATTTGATATTGGTATGCCTTTAAACGGGCGGACAAACTTCAGTATTATTATGTTATAATAGAGCCACCATCTTGCTATCGAATGTTATCTGTCTTGGAATTTAGGAATAGAAATGTATACTGATTCACTTAAATATTACCTTCTTTCTCTCAGTGTTAAGGCCAATAAGTCTAGTTAGTCAATCCTGGTTGCTAAGTAAAAAAGTTGGGATGAAGATGGGATGTTTTACCGTTTTGAAGAGTAAAGAGAAGAAAATGTCAGATAAGAATAAGATCAGCCATGCTACACGTGTTAATCCTCGGGGTCATTCACCTACTGTCTTGCCCGAGCCCCTAACACAAACACGGGCATTACATTCTGCTCCACCAAGCTTTAAAATTAGAGCCCGTCCTGCCGCTTCAAGCCTGGACGAAGCAGGACAAGACACAACTCTTACGTCATATGAATGTGACGAATATGAGGAATCAAGGGGCCGTATTGGGTCAATGATAGAATCTATCTCATCTAGTAGCCCTCAACCCCTTCCTCTCCCCTCACCTCACCCTACTGCCTCCCTGAAGACTATGGGAAGCTTCAAAACTGTGAATGCCACTGGCGGCCGTTTCAATGCCTCCTCAGGACCGCTTCCGCTGCCTCCAGTGACAGTGTCTTCTACAGGAAGTGTGCGGAACTTTTCTTATGAAGAGATTGCAGCCGCCTGCCACAACTTTACCTCTGAGCTATGTGTGTCAGAAGGGCTTTCTTCTGTTATCTATAGTGCTTCGTTTGGGGATGATGCGAAGAAGCTTGACGCCACTATAACTCGTCTCAGCCCATCTTCTCAGGTAATGTTTGAGTTGTGAGGTGTATATAGCTAAAGCTATAACTATTTAGAACATGTTTCCCATAACTTATCATTTAAGAATAAAAGTGCTTTTATCACAAGTGCTTTCATGTTTAAACACTTGGTACTTTTCTGAAATAGCACCAAAATGTTAGTATTCTTAAAAAAAGGAAAAAGTGTTTGTGTTAGAAGCATATTTTACAGTTTCATTTCATAAGCTTGCTCATAAAGTAAAATTCTTTTTCCCATCTAAAACACTCCTATTCATTGAAAATAAGTCAACTACTTTTGGAAGGGTCGTGTTGGGAAAATTTGTAGCTTTATATTTCTTTAGACACCCTCTATCCTTCCATCTTCTTACAGGTATAAATCAAAGGAAAATTATTGTTATCTTCTTGAACTTTCAATCTTACAAACTACCATTACAAAGTGGTCTCAAGTCTCAACTTTTAGTTTTAGAGCCTTAAAAGCCAAGAAGCAGTCCTGTTTGGTATACTCCAACACCAACTTGAAATATTGGGTTGCATCTTCATGATGACACATGACATGAACAAAGTCGTCCCATTTTTTTTACTAAATATCTTTGGTTTTCCAGGGATTGAAGGAATTTGTGAATGAAGTTAACACTCTAGCCTCATTGCAATGCCCTTCTCTTTGTAAACTGCTTGGTTTTCATGCGCGCGAAGATTCGGGGCACAGGATGTTAGTTTATGAAAGGCTTTTTCATGGAAGCTTAGATGGGCTCCTATTTGGCAGATCTGGTGGCCCTCCCTTAGATTGGAATGCTAGAATGAAAATTGCCTTGTGTGCTGCACAAGGTCTCACTTTTCTGCATGAGGAAGGACCTTTTCAGGTAATCAACACAGTTATCTTTAAAAATATGAAAGTGGTGGAATTCAGAATTTGGATGGGGTCGCTCAACAAGGCCACCATAAGACACTTTGACCAAGCCATGCTAAAATATTAAATCCATTATTCTCTGTTTAATATTCTGACATGAAACTCTTACGGACCCTATGTACATTTATGTTGTAACTAAGTATTCTTTTTGTATTTGCAGGCAATGTTTCATGAATTTTCAACTGCAAATATACAAATTGACAAGGACTTTAGTGCAAAACTTTCAGGATATGGTTGTGTTACCCACATTCAAGAGACCAGCATCTGTTGTAGTTCAGTTGTAAGAGCACGGTGCACTATCTTCTTCATATATTGTTTGGAACCCGAATTCTTAGAACAATCTTTATTTAGTGACAATTTGAGCCCCCCACTTTCAAAATTATTGATATTTGCATTTTGCCCCCCAACTTTGTAAATCGAAATTGCTCTCCATTATCAACATTTTTTCTCTTAACTTTGCGATGCAAAAATTAATGGCTTAAAATTGTGTCACAACCTCAAGTTCAGATGAAAAAGTGAGGTGCAAACTACAATCCCCAGCCCTATATTTATGAGTCCTTTAAAAGAAAACAACTTCATTTATCCAGGTACTCGCGAATCTTTCGGCAGAGGCACTGGAGAGGGGTTATCCAACTCCAAAGAGCAATGTTTGGAGTTTTGGGATTATACTTCTTGAGTTGCTGACTGGGAGGAAGAATTTGGACTGTGGCCATCCAAAGGAAGAAATGAATTTAGTGAAGTGGACCCGGCCTTTTCTAGCCGATGATTGCAGATTATCACTTATAATGGACTCACAGCTGAAAGGTCGGTTCCCGGCCAAAGCTGCTCGGACTATCGCCGATATTGCTCAAAGATGCCTGCATAAGGACCCTTCTGAAAGGCCCACCATGAGAACTATAGTGGAACAGCTCAAAGCGGCTCAAGACATGAAGTATCCTTCCCGGTTTCCACTTGAGGAGCCAGGAAGAGTGAGCATGAAGCACATGTCGAAATCACATAGTCTAAATGGGATTGTCATCCCACCCCCAAGGCTTAGTCTTTCGCCTTCACCACCGGCGACTAGCAAACCACCTCTTTCTCCGACTAGACATACAGGAATGCCCTTATCTGGTCGGTCACGAACATGCTCTTACACCTCTTTGGAGGACTTGAATAGGTTCGAGACTCGGAGATCTTCGACTTCACCCGTCCAAAGATCTAGTGTTGAAGGATTTTGAATGTTCATAGAATCACAGACATCATCTCTTTTCCTTTCTTTTTTCTTCATGATTTTCCTTCCTTTCTTGGGAAGTGATTCGCTAAATGCAATATAGTAGAAGATAAAGAAAAGGCTTTAACTTTCACCTCGCCGTTCTTCAAGTATGAAACTATGAGGAATGGCACTATGTAGATATGTATTCGCTTGGATTAATTAGTTTTCCTCTTATAAAGGAAGGGGTGCAGTTTCTGTTCTTGATTGGCGCAGAGTCCCTGTATATGTATTTGTATGATAGTAATATTGTGGTTATATTTTTTTTCTTGGAAGAATATTTAAGGCTTGTTACACGTTTCAATTTTAGCAGTTTCCTCGCCCAGTAATCTTGTATCATTTAAGTTCAAAGGAACAATGAAAAATATGATCTATAAGCCGTTGTTTGGTTAGAGAGCTGTAGGGCCAGGGAAAGAATTTGAAACAGAAAGGACGGTTTAGACCAATTTTTAATAAGATTACTCTGGATTATGCCTTAAAGGCTTAAACGAGCAGGGTTCCATGGTATACTAACTTGAGATATTTAGTTTACCGTAAGAAACTATTTATTTATTTTTAATAAAATCATGAAATGTGTCAAAAGATAACTTAAAGCCTTAAGAAATACTAATCCTACACCTAAGTCTAAGAATACAAGTGAATCACCTCAAAAATTAAAAACTAAAACTTAATTACTCCAAACAAAGATACTAAAACTTCAAAAAGATATTGAAATTAAATGATTGTGATTGTTGTAATAAGAAGAGAAACAATACCAATCACATTAATCTTTCTTTAAGAAATGTAAAGAAAGTTTGGAGACATTTCAAAGTGACAGTGAAAATAAATGTTTGAGAGAAAGAGAGTACTAAAATGAATCAAGAGGGTAAAAAATAATTAATTGTAGATAATTGTATAATTTCGACAAAGTCCTACGGTCCTACCTGACTAGACCACCAAATTCTGACAATCCTCCGAATAGTTCAAAGTTCAAACTCTTCAAATAAGACTACCTAACACAACTCACTAATAGAGCTATTAAAGAATATTTTGTCAAAGCGTCTGAGAATTCTCGTGAACCTGTAAAGGATATTGTTGAAACATTGCTTCCTCAACTGATGAATTGAATGATGCCTAAAAAAATCATGACTTTCATCTTAGTAAGTAGTCAATAGCCATATGTTTTTTTTCTGCGTATTAGGGTCATCTCGGTACACAGAACATTGTATTCATCTTAGGTGGATAGTTACATGCTGGTATGGTTTTCTTATTGAATTTTTCATCCTTAATCCTTTGCCAGGTTCTATTCTTTCTGTCGGCAGGTTATTGTACATCGTGCTGACAGGAAGTATCAATGCTATCCGTTCATCCAGACACATTTAGAAATTATTTATGCTAAACAGATCATAAACTAATGAGAAATTACCCAAAATAGTACTAAAAACATTTGTATACTCCAAAATAGAACAATCATGTTTTTTTACTCCAGGGGGTCTAGAGGAGGGGGGTTGGGGGTCTGGAGTAATCAGGCTGAAACTCACTCCATTGAGTTTCAAACCCTTATTGTGCCTAGCGGGTTTCAAACTCGAGACCTCCCACTAGGCACGATAACTTCACAACCAGCTGAGCTGGAATGCTTGGTTAATAGAACTATCATGTTTTTATTTCCAAAATAGGACTAATTACTGTCATGTTTTGGCAGTGGGCATGGAATCGGGCCGGGCCGGGCCTGACTGGATTTTTTTTGGATTCTTGAGGCCCGGAACCAGCCCGGGTAGCTACCGGGTCCGGGTCGAGCCGGCTACCTATACTTTTTTTTTATTTTCTAATTACTTCCTACCCCCCACCCCCCTCCAAAACATCCATCCCAACCCATTTACCTCCCAAACTTTGTGGGGGGGAAAATTAGCCCGGCCCGGCTGGTTCGGGAATAGAGCACCCGGACCCGGTCGAGCGGGTCAGGCCGGTTCGTTACTGTAGCGGACTGGGCCAGTTCCAATCCGGTTTACCCAGCCCGAGTCCACCCATATTTGGCAGTACCAGACTTTAAACATGTCAGTATTTTCCAAACTTGACAGTATATACTAGGCATGGACCCGGGTTGGGCCTGACCGGGCATTTTTCGGGATTCTTGAGGCCTGGAACCGGCCCGGGTAGCTACCGGGTCTGGGTCAGGCCCAGGCCGGTTCGGGCTGGGTCAGCCTGGTTGCCTTATTTTTTTTCCAATTACTTCCTACCCTCCCACCCACCCCCCACACACCCCAAACCCGTCCAAAACACCCAGCCCAACCCATTTATCTCCCAATGTTTTTTAAAAAAATGGCCCGAACCAGGCCCGGCCCGGCCGTTTGGTTTTCTGGGGACCCAGAGCCCGCCTCGAAAATGGGCGGTTCGGGTATACAGCACCCGGCCCGGACCCGGCCGGGCGGGTCGTGCCGGTTCGTTACTGTAGCGGGCCGGACCGATTCCGGTCCGATTTACCCGACCCGAGTTCACCCCTAGTAATTACCCCTATTTTGGGAATAAAAACATGACAGTCCTATTTTGGAATTTTTGAACTTTTTTACTCCTATTTCAGGAATTTTCCCTAAACTAATTGATGAAGATAATTATGTGAGATGTTAGTTTGTTCCCTGCATGTCAGCGTTCTTTGCAAACAGGATGTTGAAAATCGATGATTATGAGTCTGACTTGGGTAAATTAAGTTTCTGTTACTACAAATACTACGCAAGTTTTTTGGGCTTTATTCCTTATTCTTTAATTTCAGGGCCAGCTCGGCGGCCTTTATTGCAATGACATATCGGAACCATCCCTTAGATAGTTAGATTACATGCCATCATTCTTTTTTTATTAAACCATAAAAAAGAAGGGCTAAAAACCAAACAGCTGGTCCAGAACTAGAGGTTGTTTAATTGAACATGATTTTAATTCCACCTCTACCTAGAACAGGCCAGTTGAGTACTGACCAGAATCCAGCCCTACTTGCTAAGGTATCTACAAATGACACTAAACCATGTATATATACACATGACCTGGCCATCAGTGTTTTATTGTAAAATTAGGATTCCTTCAGTCCTACAATTCTAAACCTAGTAGGTTTAGCAAGTCCTATTTTTGCAGAGCAAATGATCTTACATGGAAAAGTATGTTAATCTTATTTTTAGAGATTCTTCTGGGATATCCCTGTATTTTATCTGAAGAGAAGACACAGACAGCATTACATGCGAATATCCTATCTACCTAGCTTACTGGAGCTTAATGGATGTCCTATGGATTACATATATACACATGCATAGAACATCTGTTGTCCATTAAATGGATCATTTTATCCAAGAACCCAGTGGGACATCAGATGCAAAAAGGAGGATAGGCCTTGAGCTTAAAAAGAGACATGGTTTCAGTTCTGGATCAGCAACATAGGAGATGTCTCTTTACACCACCAAGTAACACCCACCATTCAGCTGCGACAGGGAGAAGCTTGATATTCAGAAGTTTCCATGAGAGACTGGTTGGGGACCTCCCCTTGATTGTCCAAGGGGATGTAATGCGCTATGATGGCACGAATCTCCGAAACAATGTTCCTCTGCAGAGAGAAAGTACATTCTAAACACCAGTTCGGTAGCCAACAGTGGCGTATTCTTGTTATCAATGTAGAAAACCGTTACTCAAAAGACTTAGAGCTCGTTTTAAAGAACTTTTATTGCTTGAAATGCAGCACATATCAACTGAAAACACCATTTACACCAAACAAGACTTTAATGTACGCATACATGTGTCATGCTCAATCATGTATAGCAGATTTCCACGACAATTGCATTCATAACCCATGTGTTCTCCTTGGGCATTTACATTCATGGCATTGACACACTGTTTTCTTCTTGGATTCATTAATATCTGCAAAACGCCCGAAGTTGAAGGAATAAAGTTTTTGCTCCAAACAATCAATTATAATGTATCTCTAAACGAATTATTACAAGTTAGAACCTTCGAAATCTATGGATCAGGCTAAGGTGTGAGCCGTGAGGAACATTGTAAAGTTTCTATTGTTAGCACCACAAACGTGACCTTAACTCCACATTAGTATGATATTGTCCACTTTGGACTGAGCTTACATGGATTTTTTTCGCTTCCCAAAAGGCTTTATCGTAGTGCAGTTGAGTGTAATTCACATTCCAGGTTATTCTCACTTATCACATCACTTATGGCATTTATGACAAAAGTCTCAAACAGTAATAAACTCTACCTTCACATGTACTAACTCCATCACCTTTAAAACCTGGAGGGCAGTGGCAACCCTTTGTGTGGTCATCCTGAAAAAGGCACAAAAAGAAACACGCATCACTTTCCTAAAAGGTGAATTGAAAAATATGCAATGTAGCAACAAAAAAACTGCTCACGTTTTAAGCAGAATATGTTACACCATCCCTAATTTACTTCCAACATCCCCCATTATTAAGTCGACATCACAGTGCTCCAGGTGCTATTAAGCCCACAAGAAATTAAGCGTGTTAGAACCCCACTCCAGTAGTATGTTGATGAATTATTTAATGCACGGCTTTACCTTCACAATGAGCGTAACCATCACCAATGAATTTCAATATATTGTCAATATGACATTGTGTCAATGTTAGACTAAGACTCACTTTTTGCTAAATATGAGAGTATGCTACTGATTTAAAATATATTCTCCTCTATTCTCCTAAACATCTTCATTGGAGGTAGAACTTCAATTGGAAAATAGAAGTTTCTCCAACATTTAAAACCAAAGCACCAGAATAAAATTGAGAGTTGATAATCAAACTCAAATTTAATTCATATTTATCCATTAAGAAATGCTTAATTAGATCATTTTCATTTCATTTTCATTTACCCCAGTGCCGCAAAGGCTCCCACCTACGGTGGGGTAAGGGGGGGTCGGATGTACGCAGTCTTACCCCTGTAATAAAGCACAGAGAGACTGTTTCCGGATGACCCATAGTGAAAATCCCGTCCAAAATTGCATGGACTGACTGCTGCTTCATAACAAAGAAGCGCAGACAGTTTAGTGAGTCATTTTGCTTGATTCCATCATAATCTCAAGCCAAAAAATAATGAATCTTTGGCTCCATTGCAAATGATGGAAAACAGAACCATTCTCCCCTAGATATTCAAAATTAATACTCCATCACACAATGTTTATATCGGGCCAAAGTAACTCTTCGAAGAAAGGTTCTCCACGGCAAAACCTGGATTAGTTGTATGGGCTATCCGCATAGCCAGATATTTGGCCCAGGCGATAGGATCATAGGATATTTTAGTGTTTAGGCGGGAATAGCATTCTCTCTTATACTTAGCGCCTTCAGTTATATTAAGATGCCACAAAGATTACTCGATTCATTACTTCTTTCCTGCATTCTCTGGCTTTAATAGAGGATATGGATTTCATGCCACAACTCACAAGTGAAGCCGTGAAGAGACGGATGGCATGATTTTTTTAACATTCTTATATGGAAAACCAGCTAAAAACTTAAAAGTATATATGTAATACATATTTTCATAATTCACTGGCTTCTAAATAAAAATATACTATCGTATCTATTAATAAAAGAAAACACAACCATTCTCACCCCTCTAATGACTAGTTACTCCAACTGAGACTCCAACTATTTGTTGCTCGATTCTCCTTCAGCTATGATTTGTTTCAACTGTGCTCCACCATCTGGTCAAGAGTAACCAGGTACGTGGATAGTCGACTGCCCAGGTCCCTTTATGCCTCCATGACTAACCGCTCCTGTTGTGTTCTTAGAATACTCATTTCTTGTCCATTTCTCACCCTTACATGGATACCGACTGGAAACACCAAACATTAAAGAGTTGGTTGGCTTTGTGCAAAATCAGCTTTCCATGGAAGAGTTGAATTTTTAGGTGGTCAGCGCTAGCACCCTTTTACCAAATTCCACAGAAAATTTCCTGCTGGTTGTGAGAATATTTAAATTATCACTCTATTCCAAAGAAAAGGAAATCACAAATAAGAAAGCAAGTCACTTCAACCCTTATTCATATCCTGCCACCAGCTTTAAATAGTTTATAAAAACTACTACCTCCGTCCCACTAACATTGGGAGAAGAGGAGGTGACACAGTTATTAAGAAAACTGGGTTTATGTGGTTGATATTGAATTGATAGAGTAAGAATAAAGTAAGAATGATTTAGAGTCACACAAACTTTACCAAATTTGGTATGGGACAATCTTAATGGGATTTCCCGAAAAGGTAAAAAAGGGACGATCGTAGCGGGACGGGGGAGTAATATTTTTGCAAGGAAATTCAGTCACAGTAAAGAAAAAGCAACAAACCAAAGCACATTTTTATCACTGAGCAGCAGTAATCTTAATTCCATTATTCCATGATGTTTTTATATTTAGAAAATATATCAACCTTAATGTTTAATACGAGTTTCAAAGTTAAAAGTCACTTCAAATACATAAGGAAAATGGGCATATCATAGGGAAAAATTTTACACACACAGATAGACAATGGACATGTATGGATACATGCACACAGATACATAAGGCTCATATGACATATCTTCAATCAAAATCATTGCAAAACCAAATATGGCTGCAAGAAAACAACTTCCATGGCAACATACTGGCTGCCTTGCCGAAAGGATTGGTTCTTTATTTTATTATAGTAAAATGATCATAAAAATTTCAATTTCAAATATCAAATATTATGGTTTCAGACATTCTTTGGTAATTCTAAAAATTCAATATGCGTAGCACCAATTCTCCCTCTATCATAAAAAAAATTAGGATACCAAGAAAATAGTAATTCAAATAGACGGGTGGAAGAAAATATAAAGATAAAAATAACACAAAATTCAAATTTTAGTAATAGTGTAATACGAACCTACAAAATGCTAAATCTTAAAAAATCAAAAGTAGATACTTATATGTTGGGTTAATATTATAAATAAGTGGAAGGGATAAACAGCAGCAGAGAAGATAAGTGTTCAAATTTCAAATTAAAGCAATAAATACTCATATTTAAAGCAATAAAATAGTTAGCGTATGCAGATATCTAAAACAAGGGAACACAGCTTTTAATTAAAAGAAAGAAATCATAATTTGTGGTGCCATATGGATCCATCAAGAACCTGATACGAGCCCGAACTTACTATCTATTAATCCTTATAGGGATTTTACTAGAGTTTATGAAAGGAGGGGTAATAAGGTAAAGAAACAAATCAGGGGAGTGGAGGATGAGAAAAAACAGACAGGCTGACGGGGACTGGATATGCATGGGAAAGGAATAAAAGAGGAGAAAGGAAGAAAGAGAAAGATTGGCCAGAAATTTGTTAGTCTTGGGACTTGGGAGAGCGAGATCCTCTCGAAGCGATCTCAACTTTATCGTTTTTCATTTCATCTTGTTATTTCTGTAATCGCAGTGTACTGCAGACTGTTAAAGTTCATTCTAAATATTGAGTTTGATTGAATGAGCATTGAGTTTTGTTGTGTGTGTATCATTGGTATCAGAGACCAACGATTCCTGTGATTGTGGATGCCCTTCACTCGATCGCAGATGGAAAACCGAATGGATAACATGGAACGCACTGTTGCAGAACTAAGCGACAGGATGGACGAGCGGATGAACAGTATGATGGAGGAAATGTGAACCCTGTTGCAGCGACAGAATCACCGTTGCACCAGGGGACGATCGGGACACTCGCGACAGCAACCATCTTTCGACCATCGCAGCACCTCACGTGACCGAGATGAGTCCCGATCACCATCGCAGGTATCCTCGTTTGTTCATGAAACTCCGCACATGAGAACTCGCCATCGAACCGGGGGAAAAATAGATCTTCCGATGTTCAATGGTGACGATGCATATGGCTGGTTGGTCAGGGTGGAGAGTTTTTTTAGATTGAATGATATACCGGATGGGGAAAGGGTGGAAGTCAAGGCCCTCAACTGGTTCCAGTGGTGGGAGGGCCAAACGTGGACTAGGAGCTGGGAAACTTTTAAGGAAGCTTTGATCAAGAGGTTCCAGTCTGATTTAGTACAAAATCCTTATGGGCCTATGCTGAGTGTAAAACAAACGGAAAGCGTGAGGGAATACCGGGAAAATTTTGAGTTCGTCATGGCTCCTATGCGATGCACTGACTCAGATATGCTTAAAGGAATTTTCATGAATGGATTAAGAGGGTGTGAGGGCTGAACATAAATTGTACCCTACGGTATCATTGTGTGAGATGATGGACTGAGTGCTGTTATTGGAAGAAAAAAACGCTGCGGTCAGAACCGTCAAACACAGAGAAGAGGACAAACGTGGGTGGAAGGATAAAGGCGGGAGTAAATCGAGGTATGTGCCGTGGAATGAAGGGCACAAACTTAGGAGTTCATTTACAAAGAATATAGCTATTGACCCATTGGAGAAAGCAACAAAACTGAAGGAGACCCATCTGTCAGTAAGGTAGGGCGGAATGGACACAAACTATCTCAAGAGGAGTACCAAGACAGGGCTAAAAAGGGTTTATGCTTCAAATGTGGTGAAAAATGGAACAAGAAACATATTTGCATGCTAAAAAACTATCAAATGGTGCTGATGGAAATACTAGAAGAACCTGAAGGAGAGGAAGGAGGGATCTCCACAGAAGAGGAAGAGGAAGAAACTGGTGAAGTGAACCCCCTACAATTATCTATATTGAGTAAAGAAGGTATCGTAGCCCAAGGGACATTTAAAGTGAAAGGACAATTGAAGAATCGAAAAAGAGCACAGGGGTAGTGATCTTGATTGATTCCGGGGCCTCCCACAATTTCATATCCCAAAAACTGGCCAAGAACATGGAACTTCCTACTCAGACTACGGCAGAATTCTAAGTGGAAATGGGAATGGGGATAATATCCAAAATCAAGGAAAATGTTCCAAGTTGCTAATTGAGGTGCAGGGTAATTGGATTGTACAAGATTTCTATCTTCTGGAGTTGGGGGGAATGGATTTAGTTCTGGGAATGAAATGGCTAGTGAGTTTGGGAAAAATAGAAGCTGACTTTCAAGAGTTGACTATTCAGTGAACAGAGGATTGAAAGGTTAAGAAGTTGCGGGGAGATTCAACCTTAAACAGATCCAATACTACCTGGAAATCTATGCTGAAAACTCTGCAAGCACAAGGAGAAGGGTACTTCATACAGTGTGAGGAGATCTCTTCATAAGAAGTAAACATAGACCAGGAATGGGAGGAGGTGATCCAAGATTATGCAACAGCTTTTCAATCACCTCAGGGATTACCTCCTAATCGGCAGTGTGACCATGCTATAAAAATAAAGGATGGAGCAACTATACCCAATATAAGACCCTACCGCTACCCTCAATATCAGAAGGATGTGATTCAAAGTATAGTAAAAGAGATGCTGAAATCAGGGATCATCAGACTAAGCAACAGTCCCTACAGCAGCCCGGTAATCTTAGCCAAGAAAAAAGAGGGAGAATGGAGGTGTTGTGGAGACTATCGGGCCCTTAATAAAATCACTGTTCCTGATAACTTCCCTATACCACTTATTGAAGAACTTCTGGATGAACTGGGAAATGCCAAAATATTTTCAAAACTGGATCTCAAATCAAGTTATCATCAAATCCGAATGAGAGAAGAGGTTGTTCACAAAACGTCTTTTAGAACCCATGAAGGACACTACGAGTACCTAGTGATGCCTTTTGGGTTAACAAATGCACCTTCTACTTTTTAGTCCCTTATGAATCAGATTTTAAAACCCTACTTAAGGAAGTTTGTGCTCGTCTTCTTTGATGATATACTTATTTACAGCACAAATGCAAAAGAACACCAGGAACATCTCAGGAAGGTGCTGCATGCAACTCTTAGCTGAAAATAGCTTGGTGGTGAATAAAAAGAAGTGTCTGTTTGGACAGTCACAGCTCATTTATTTGGGGCATATTATATCTGGGAATGGGGTGACAGCAGACCCCAACAAAATAAGAGATATGGTTGAATGGCCCTTACCTAAGAATATCAAGGGACTAAGGGGTTTTTTGGGGTTAACAGGGTACTACAGGAGGTTTGTTAAAGGTTATGGCAAAATTGCTTCACCTTTAATAAATATGCTTAAAAAGATGGGTTTCAGTGGAATGCTGATTCAATAGCAGCTTTTGAAAGGTTAAAGTTAGCCATGACAACTCTACCAGTTTTGGCAGCCCCTGACTTTGACAAGACCTTTATTGTTGAAACTGATGCTTCTGGGACGGGTGAGGGGGAACTGTTGATGCAACAAGGAAGACCTATTGCTTGCATGAGTAAAGTGTTGTCTGCTAGAAACCAAGGAAAATCAGTATACGAAAGAGAGTTGTTAGCTATAGTCTGGGCAATTCAAAAGTGGAGACCATACCTACTGGGGAGAGTTTTTGAGGTCCATACTGATCAGAAGAGTCTCAAGTTCCTTACTGAACAGACACTATTGGGAGAAGAGCAGCAGAAATGGGTTTCTAAACTATAGTAACACAAGCAAGGAAGGGAAAATCAGGTTGCAGATGCCCTTTCAAGAAAAAGCAGCCTCACATCCCTATCTACAGTAACCTGCCAGACTTGGGAAGGCTCAGAAGAAGAGTTGTTGAAAAATAACAAGTGTCAAACAATAATTCAGAATCTGTTGGCAAATTCTGATTCAAATCCTGGGTTTCTTTTGAAGGAAGGACTCCTTTATTATAAAGGGAGATTGGTAATTCCCAAGGGATCTCCTAGAATTCCAAACATTTTAAAGGAATTCCATGACTCTCCAGGTGGAGGACATTCTGGCAATCTGAAAACTTTAAGAAGGATCACAAATGTGTTATACTGGGAGGGTATGAGAGCTGACATACAGCAATATATCAGGAGTTGTAATATCTGCCAAAGAAATAAATACCAGAACCTCACTCCGGCTGGTCTGCTGCAACCATTACCTATACCATCACAGGTTTGGGGAGGATCTGAGCATGGATTTTATTGGAGGACTGCCTAAAGCTATGCGGAAAGACTGCATGCTAGTGGTTGTGGACAGATTAACCAAGTTTGCTCACTTTATAGTCTTATCACATCCTTTTTCTGCTAAGGGAGTTGCAGAGGTATTCATTCAAGAAATCATTAAGTTACATGGGTTTCCTAGAACGATTGTATCTGACAGAGATAGTATTTTCTTGAGCACCTTTTGGTCTGAATTGTTCAAAATGGCGGGAACCAAACTGAAATACATAACTGCATACCACCCTCAGACAGATGGGCAAACTGAGGTGGTAAACAGGAGTCTAGAACCATATCTCTGATGCATTACTCGCAGCAAGCCCAAGTAGTGGCCAAAGTGGTTAGCATGGGCTGAATATTGTACTCGCAGCAAGCCCAAGCAGTGGCCAAAGTGGTTAGCATGGGCTGAATATTGGTATAATATCAACTACCATGAGTCTCTCAAGAGTACCCCTTTCAAGACTCCTTTACAACGGCAGTGGAAGAAGGTCGAGGCTCACGGCAAAGAGAAATGGTATGCTTCAAGAACTGAAAAACAATCTGGATATGGCCCAAAACAGAATGAGGCAGCAAGCTAATAAGCATCGAAGGGATATTGAATTGAAGGTGGGAGATAAGGTCTTCTTGAAGATCCAACCTTACAAGTTGAAGAGTTTGGCTAAGAGGATTAATCAAAAACTAAGTCCTAGATTCTATGGCCCTTTTGAGATTATGAAGTGATTAATCCGGTGGCATACAAGTTACAATTACCTGGGGGCTGTGTGGTACACCCTGTGTTCCACATCTCATTACTCAAGAAATCAGTCACTCCCAACACTCTTTGTCAACCTCTTCCAAGTTGTATAACAGAAGAATGGGAGCTCCAATCACAACCTGAAGAGGTACTGAATTTCAGAATTTCTGACAAGGGAACTAAGGAAATCTTAATAAGTTGGAAGCATTTCAGAATTCCTGGGAGGATTTGAATTTGTTCAAGGAGCAATTCCCCAAATTCCACCTTGAGGACAAGGTGTTTTCAAAAGGGGGGAGTGATGATACGAGCCCGAACTTACTATCTATTAATCCTAATAGGGATTTTACTAGAGTTTATGAAAGGAGGGGTAATAAGGTAAAGAAACAAATCAGGGGAGTGGAGGATGAGACAAAACAGACAGGCTGACGGGGACTGGATATGCGTGGGAAAGGAATAAAAGAGGAGAAAAGAAGAAAGAGAAAGATTGGCCAGAAGTTTGTTAGTCTTGGGACTTGGGAGAGCGAGATCCTCTCAAAGCATCTCAACTTTATCGTTTTTCATTTCATCTTGTTATTTCTGTAATCGCAGTTGTACTGCAGACTGTTAAAGTTCATTCAAAATATTGAGTTTGATTGAATGAGTGTTGAGTTTTGTTGTGTGCGTATCAGAACCTGAGATATACACACTATGAACCTTGGCAGTGCAAGTCAATATGGTTTTGGATGCTAGTGGAGTTTAGTCTTATCTGGTCCAGAATGTTCCGAACCGCCATATCCCCAGCTCTGAATTGCTTGAGACACCCTGCAGTGAACAGTTAGAAGTTACTATAAATAATAATAATAAGTGGTAAATAAGGGGAAATAGAAAAAATGAAGATAATGATTTGTATGCGACAAACTGACTAACCATACTACGAATAATTTCTAGAGGCTGAAACTAGTGATAATACACACATTGCAATCACATTAGAAAACGAAAAAGTTGGAACCATCTTGAGATGTTAAAAATATTAGAGAAAGTCTCCAAAAAACGTTTTCTTCCAATCGGAGTTGGTAACCAAAATATGAATGTAGAGAAATAGCAAAGTGAACACATAAGCTATTTTGTTCACTTGTAATCCACAAAAAAGAAAACATGAACAGTAAATGATGCGTAATTGTTTCTTGTTTATTTCCATTTTATTTTATGTTCTTGACATATGCTTGATTGTGGCTTGCCTATTTCCATTTTATATTATTTCATTTGATGGTCGAAAGGCTTTAGGCGTAGGAAATTTAACAATTCAAACCTAATGCAACCTTTGTCGCATAAAAGATGTCCTTTTCAAAACCTATTCATGTCCTAAAAAAGAGTCATGTTTCGACAAAAATAAGCTTTGCTTCATTGAATTCAAAGTAGTTTTTCGAAGTAAAAAATGTTCCAAAAGAGTTAGCATGGCGAATTTAGTTTACCACGTAAAAAATAAAAATATTAGGACAAATGATTTACAAGAGTTGTACATTACCACAATTAAATGGTTCTACATTGATGCAACATGCCAACAAGAGTCTTCTTTTGAAAAGAATGGATTATATGTTGTGAACCAAAGTGTTTCCCATTTCAATCAGGATTTAAAATAAGAAAATGGGGAAGCAATTGGAGCTTCATGCTGGAGATGGGGCTCTCTGCTGATTTCTAACCCCCAAAAGACTACATACTCTTTACAATTTCTGTTTGTGGAACCCCGTGCTCAACCTACTGAAGCAGCTACATCAAGAATGTCTTCAGAGCTAGATGTGTCAGTGTCAAGAACAAGTAAATGGTAATTATTATCTGAGAAGACATCCTTGACATTTAAATCATGAACAGCTTTATCACACAACTCCATGAATAGATTAAGTACTAGACTTGAATGCCGTTTTTTGCGCAAAATGTTCTTCATTAGCCTGAAAGTAATATGGTTAACCTCAATGCCTCCATCAACCATCTCAACAAGTATCCTTTTTATAGTACTAACATCTACATTCTCACACAATCCAGATAACATAAAACTGTAAGTGTATATATTCGGGGCCAAACCAATTTCTTTCATCATGTTAAACACAGCATATGCATCTTCAACAAGACCACCTTTGACCAGGCCATCAATAGCAACAGTATATGAAACAACATCCATATGGAGTTTCTCTTCCGCGGCTTTCCTGAATAATCTGATGGCTTTGTGAAATTCACCAGATTTTATAAGTTCATTAATGATCACAGTGTGAATATGAGCATCTAGCCCATCTTGATTCTTGGCAATACCTTGATACACATCAACAGCCTGAGATGTCTTGCCTAACCTACATAACCCACTCAATAATCCCGCAAATGTGTAATTGTCTGGTTGGAAACCTCTATATATCATGTCATTATAAAACTCAACAGCACCTTTAGGATATCCGGCTTTGCAAAAAAAACTTAGAAAAGAGTTACAAACAACTAAATCGGCATGTATATCCAATCCATCGATGAGTACAGGCAAGAGGGTGAATTCCTTGCATAAACAAACTGTTGACATGATAGAGGAGAGTGTGTAAGAATCAGGGGTCAATCCTCTTTCCCCTAAACTACAGAAAACATCAATAGCTTCATCATAATTCCCTGTTTTTGAGAGGGAATGTATAAGCACATTGCACATAATCAAATCAGGACAGCACCCTATGGATTTCATGGTGTCTAGGATCTTAAAAGCTTTGCTAGGCATATGAGATTCCAAATATCCCTTAACCAAAGATGTGCATGTGACCATATTTGGCATGCATCCACTAGACATCATCTTATTTAGCAAATGACTGGCAAAATCGAGTTTGTCAGATTTAGAATATCCATTTATTATTATACTCCAAACAATGAAGCATGTAGGAACACCCAAGGCAATCATAAGACCTAATAATTGGGTAGCCTTTGATAATTGACCTGATTTGCAATAACAGCTCAAAACAGACGAAAATGTCTTGGGGTTAAGATAATATCCATTCCTCAACATGGTCATAAGTACAGATTGCAGATTGACCATATCTTTGAGTTTACACAGATTGCCGATGGAAATGCTGAAGGTTAGGAAATTGGGTGACTTTGTCTCCTTCAAAACTTGAAGTGCAACACTTGCGCAACCAATCTTGAACAATACATCCATCAATATGTTCCTAGAAAATGTGTTTGGCGTGTAACCATACCTGAGAATCTCTCCAAAAGCCTCAATGACCATACTGTGCATTCTTCCAAGCCAGTATATTCTCAATAAAAGTAATAAAACTTGTGGCTTTATCAGAATACCAGCATTCTCCAATTCATCCAAAACACCTTTTATGGTTACAAACCTCTGAGTGAGGCGAGAGACTACATTAACCATGTAAACACAAGTTGCCTTTTCATGGAAGTAATTAGGTTGCTTAGCACACCAAAAAAAGAAGGAAAGAGCAATTATATCGGAATGGCAATTCAATATAGTGAATTGTACGACTTGCGGGGTGAGGATAACTTTGGAACTCCCAGGAATAGTAGAGAAAGAAATTTGATGAGTGTTGATCAGAAGATCGTTTGTTGATGAGAGAAAACAACATTTTGTTGATCTGCGTGATAGTTTAAATAGGTGTCTAGAACTCCATAACATTTCTAGTATGAAAGATTGCTTAATCCAAAATAGAGTATCAACTGGAAATCAGAATGAAGAATTGTGCTAGAGCTTAGAGATTGGGCCACCATTTTGCTTCTGCTCAACTTAAACTGAAACCCAAACCATAAACGTAGATTGGGAGCCACACTCACTCCAGCAGGAAGCAGAGGCGGATCTACCTTTCAATCCAATGGGGGCCTAGTTTGAATATTATAAAATAATGAGATTTTTACATAAATATTATCAATAGCATATGGGGTTACAAAAAAGTTACTATTAATATGAAACACGTAGGGCATCATGAGAGTAAGTTAGGGAAAAAGGTCATATTGTTGTTAGTGGGGTTTAAAGTAGTAATATTTGTGTAATTTTTTTTAAAATAATTCCAATGGTAACAAAAATGTAAAACACAAAATTAAATTTACAAATGTTTTACCAGATTAAAAGTGTTCACCAAAGTCAAATACAAAAAACGCATGACAAAATTACACTTGTTCTCTACGGGAAAAATTGTTCACACTTGTCAAATACAAAAAACACATCCATATTATTGATGTCGTTTTTTCATCACTTCTATTTGATAAGACGATAGTATGTCCAGGGGCAGATCTAGCATTTCAATTGAAAGGGGGGCAAAAAAAGGTTGCTTGAATTTCATTTGTGCACTACAGTACTACAACAGTGCACCCGCACGCAGTTTGGCCGGCACAGTAAGCGGTGTAGCCAATGGCGGATCTAAACCTTGTGTTTTAGGTGTCCAAAATCAAAGTTAAGATAAATTGCAATAATTCTATAAATGTATCTTTGTAAAAAAAAACTATATCAATTCTATAATCATATTCATTAAAAAAAACATTAGATTTTCCATTGAATTGGACTAACAATTCTCTCAACCTGATGATTTGAATTTTCCATTAACAACTCTCCTTGATTTGGATTTTCCATTAGATTTTCCAAACCTATTTAAATAAACAGTGCTCATATTCATTAATAACTTCATAAATGGGGTAGAATTTTCCGCAACAAATCATTCATATTAACTCATATTGATGTTGTCCTAACTATATTTTGCAGACATTTCCCAAATCCCAATTCACATTCTGCAACAAATCATTCCTATTCATTCAGCAAAAAAGTATATTATTATCACACCAACAAATACATAAAGCAAAAAATCCCACTGCCTCCCATTGTATATTATCCTACATTCCTAATTTCCTACTGCCAATAGTATTCAATAAAATCCTACTGAATATTATCCAATAGTTGAGAGTTGAAACATTAAAATCCTATTGCACGTAGTATTCATTAATCCTACTGCAAAGAAGTACTTTTAGTATTGCATACACTTAAGGTACAATACTAAGAGTCTAAAATAGTAAGACAAATAAGCCATTAGGCAGCAATGTGAATTATAATTTGGGAAATGTCTGCAAATTTCAGATTAGGTATACAAAATTTAGGTTCTAATTTCGGAATGAAGAGGCTAACACTGACCCAGGGGTGAAGCCCTGCAGACCTGGAGCCGTGGAGAGCTAGACTGCTGGAGGCAGTTCCCCACCGGTGTTAGGATGGAGCCACAGATTATGTAAATCGAGGCTGGGGAGTGATGGCTGCAACTCTGCAAGTCTGCGACAGCGGTCAGAGATACGAAGCAAGCAGAGAGAACTGTAGGAGTAGGAGGATCGACGAACAGAGGATTCAGCTACACGAGGACTGGAGAGCGAGCAGAGAACAGGAGGAAGAAAAATGACAAATATTAACTACCACTATTAAAAAATTCAGAACAAAATAACTCAGATACTTTAAATTTGTTGAAATAAAGTTGAATTAGTCATCTTCTAACTATTCATTATTAGGAACACATTATCATCATTGTTAATATAAATAAGAAATCATAATTATGATTTCTAGATGATAATTGTGTGGTTCACAATTATCCTCTGATCCTAATAAGCTTAGTTTTTCCCCTATAAATAGGAGACTTCTCCATTGTAATTAACACGCCTTGATTACACTATTATCACACTCTCTAATACTCTCAATAATATAAGTCTTCATACCATATTTTCTATCCCTGATCTTCTGCTTATTTCCTTCCATTTCATAACACGTTATCAACACGAATTTGCTCCAAATCCCTGAAATCATCATCTTCCCAACAGGTATATATTTCCACGATTTTATCAATTCATCTGGAAAAAAAAATCAGAGGTTGAGAAGTGTAAACATGTATATATATATTCAAAACTATAAGAAGTATGCTCTATGGTTACCCAACAATTGGGATCCTTCATATCAGAAAATTATAGCTATATTTTTTATAGAAGAAATATAAGCCAATAGAAGAAAGAGATAAGTTTTTCTTTTCTTCCAAATTATGAAATATTATATACTACGTATAAATCTTACGAAACAAAAGGTAAGATAAAATAGAGTTGAAGTGATCAAGTAAATATAAATAAGTCAACTCTACCTGTGTTGAACATACTTCTCGGTGATAACTTTCTGGAATTAGCAAATCAGAATGAACATGGATATCCACATGTGTACATTACCTATACTAGTAGATTAAAATAAAAGAAAGAATACTACGAAAATGTGCTTGGAAGCTGAGTAATCAAGAAGAAAAAGAATCAAATTCTGTAAATAATGAATACAAGAAAATTGAATTCTTAGAAGATAACAGAAAGAGAGGTAGGTAATAAACCGAAGAAAGAAAGAGTAGTAGTTAATTTACTTCTTAGCTTCACATACTCTCTATACATACATAAAGAAACTCATCGGGTCTACATATTAATTTGACATCAATTTTTTTTTGTTTACATGTGACAGACACATCACATGGTCATACTGTGTATAACTATTATGTCTTTTAATGCGTAGCATACAAATACAATTTTAAAATTGAAGTGGGTCCTAATTCCCAATTTTTTCGTCCAAATAACATTAATGTATGGTTTCAATTTGTTTTGTTTCAATGTGTGTGTACACTGGTTCATGCATTTAAATTTTGAATACTACATATGGCTAGCTAATATTAGAACGGTGGTGCAAATTGATTGAAATGACATATCAGTGATCTCTTCAACTTAATACGGAGTAATTGATAAATTTTGTTTATACAGTATATATCATGGATACACATTGTTCATGGGAACCAATTTTTTCTCCGAGATTATTGTTATTAATATATATTACTACCCATACGAACTACGTAATAAAAGTGATGCATATAAATATTGTTATCGTATGTAGTACGGAGTAGTTAGTAATATAGTGTTTATTACATATATATATTATGTATATCTAATCGTATTATCTATACAAACCATTAACTAATTAATTTTGAATTAATTATGGTGTAGTTCATCCATGGCTAATATTAGCAAAAGAGAGTTCGACGTCCTTGATTTATCTGGTCAAAAGTATTTGAAATGGAAAGTCGACGCTTTGGCACATTTAAAAGCAAATGCCCTCGAAAACACAATTGCCGAAAATAATTCAGTCACTCCTCAAAATAAGGCAAAAGCCATTATCTTTCTTCGTCACCATCTTCACGAAAGTTTGAAGTCTGAGTGTTTATTGGTAGATGACCCTAAAGAATTATGGGATAATCTCCAAGAAAGGTATGGCCATCAACAAAAGGTTCTTTTACCAAAAGCTCAATATGACTGAATCAATTTACGATTCCAGGATTACAAATCTATAAGTGACTACAATTCTACCTTGTTCCAAATAACATCAAAACTGAAGTTATGCGGACAAAAAGTCACTGATGCTGAAATGTTGGAAAAAACTTTATCCACTATGCATCTTTCAAATATGCTTTTACAAGAGCAATATAGACAAAAGCACTTTCAAAAGTATTCTGATTTAATATCAGTATTACTACTTGCTGAGACGAATAATGACATTTTGATGAGAAACCACAATATGAGACCCACGGGTTGTAGCCCTTTTAGTTTTGGTCCACAAAATCATGGTTCAAAACATGAATCAAATGCAACCCATAGTGGTGCTCGTAGACATTTCAAACGTGGTCGTGGTATTGGTCGTTATAATGGACCTAGCCGGGGAAACAAACAGAGTAGTAGCTCTTACAAAGGCAAGGGAAAGCAAAAACCCCATCAAACAAGAGCCCCGATGAAATCTTCAGAAAAGGCTAAAGTCACTTGTTTAAATGTGGCACGTCGGGACATTAGGCAAATAAGTGTCGCACACCTACACATTTGGTTGACTTATTTAAATCATCTCTAAAAGGAAAGAATGTGGAAACTAATTACGTCAACGAAAACGTTCCACCAATGCCCGCATTTAATATGTCTGATTTCTATATGGATAATAATGAGATGAACACTGACATCGTCATGGGTGAAAAATAATAATAATAAAAATGAAATTATTTTGTTATGTAATATATTCTACAATAAAAGTTTGTTGTATTGTAATTTTTCTTTGGTGTGCTTGTTTCGGTTGTAAAAGTTATGTACATTTTAATGAATAAATTCTTGTTTATATTGCAATATTGAACTAATATTTGTTCATTTTTATCTTTTTAAATATATGGAGTTAACTGAAATTTCTCCAAATGGCTTTGAACAATGTTTAATAGACAGTGTCACAACGCACACGTACCATTTTGAGACATAGAGATTATTTTTCTCATATGACATTAGTTGATGCTAATGTCAATACAATCTCAGGTGTTGCTAAACTCATTGAAGGTTCTGGAATAGCCTGTGTAATTCTCCCAAAAGGGACAAAATTAATAATTAAAGACGCTTTGTACTCCAGTAAATCACGGAGAAATCTTTTGAGTTTCAAAGATATGCGTCTAAATGGTTTTCACATTGAAACCATGTCTGAAAATCAAAAGGAATATTTATGTCTAACGACAAATAGATCTAGAAATAAATACATTTCAGAAAAATGCCATCATATTCCTCCGGACTATATTATACATACATTCAGTCCAATTGAGATAAATGTGGTATCTAAAATTAATGACCACTGTTCCTTTATCTTGTAGCATGACCGTTTAGGTCATCCAGGCAGCACTATGATGCACACAATTATTCAAAATTCACTTGGACATTCATTAAATAATGTCAAAATTCCACAATCAAGTGATTTCTCATGCACAGCCTGTTCTCTTGGCAAATTAATTATCAAACCATCTTTATACAAAATTGGAGTTGAATCTCCTGCATTTTTAGAAAGAATTCAAGGAGATATTTGTGGGCCAATTGCCCCTCCGTGTGGACCCTTTCGATACTTTATGGTGCTCATTGATGCATCAACACGTTGGTCACACGTCAGTCTTTTATCGACTAGAAATTTTGCATTTGCAAATCTCCTTGCTCAAATTATTCGTTTGAGATCACAATTTCCGGATTTTTCAAAAAAGAAAATCTGACTTGATAGTGCAGGGGAATTTACATCCCAATCTTTTAATGACTATTGCATGTCAATTGGGATTGATGTGGAACATCCAGTTCCACATGTGCATACACAAAATGGTCTTGCTGAATCCTTAATTAAGCGATTACAATTAATTGCTATACCATTATTGATGAAATCCAGATTACCATCATCTGCATGGGGATATGCTATAATGCATGCTGCAAATTTAATTCGGCTCAGGCCAACTGCATATCATAAATTTTCCCCATTGCAATTAATATCTGGTAAAGAACCAAATATATCACACATAAAAATATTTGGTTGTTCTGTGTATGTACCAATTGCTCCACCTTAGCGTACTAAAATGGGTCCTCAAAGAAGGCTGGGAATTTATGTTGGTTTTAAATCTCCCTCAATTATTAATTATCTAGAACCTATGACTGGTGACTTATTCACCGCACGGTTCGATGATTGTCATTTTGATGAAACGGTATTCCCAGCCTTAGGGGGAGATAATAAAGAAATGGACCCACGTACGAAAGATATTACTTGGAATGCAACAGATTTATCTTTTCTTGATTCTCGCACAAATGCTTGTGAACAAGAAATTCAAAAGATCATTCATTTACAAAGTGTTGCAAACCAATTGCCTGATGCTTTCACAGACTCAAAGAAAGTGACAAAGTCACATATTCCAGCTATGAATACTCCTTCTTGAATAGAAATTCCTACGGAGATTAGCGAAAGAACTCTTGCTAATGAATCTATGATACGTAAAAAACGTGGTAGACCACTTGGTTCAAGAGATTTGAAACCAAGAAAATTTAAAAAGCAAGATTTAGTTTGTGGTGCCAAAGAAGTTCAACCTTCTCAGGAAGAAAATGAACATTATGATAATATCGGCATTGAAGATAACATCAATAATAAGGATACCTCAAAAGAGGATCCAATCACCTTTGAAGAGGTAAATATTCCAGATAAAGATAGAAACGTTGATAATTTTGAAATTTCAATCAACTACGTTTCTAATGGAATGCAATGGAATAGAAAAGATATTGATGTTAACGATATATTTTCATATGCCACCGCCACAGATATAATGAATAAACACGATGACAATGAGCCTAAATCTATTGACGAATGTCGTCGTAGAAACGATTGGCCAAAATGGAATGAAGCGATTCAGGTAGAACGAAAATCGCTAGAAAAACGTAATGTTTTTGGACCAATTGTCCACACGCCAAAAGGCGTAAAACCTATAGGTTTTAAATGGGTGTTTGTGCGTAAACGCAATGAGAAGAATGAAATCGTTAGATATAAAGCTCGACTTGTTGCCCAAGATTTTTCTCAAATGCCAGGAATCGATTATGATGAGATGTATTCTGTAGTAGTTGATGTTACTACTTTACGATTTTTAATTGGCATGTCTGTTTTTGAAAGGCTGCAAATGCAGCTAATGGATGTAGTGACCGCATATTTATATGGTTCACTTGATATAGACATATATATGAGAATTCTTGGAGGCTTTAAAATACCTGATGCTTATAGCTCGAAATTTCGAGATTTATTTTCCATAAAATTGCAAAAGTCATTATATGGATTAAAACAATCTGGACGCATGTGGTATAACCGTCTAAGTGAATATTTGATTAAAGAAGGATACAAAAATGATCCTATTAGTCCATGTGTTTTCATTCAGCGATCTGAATCAGGATTCGCCATAATTGCAGTATATGTTGATGATTTGAATATAATCGGAACTCCCAATGAAATTGAAAATACTGCTAAATATCTCATGAAAGAATTTGAAATGAAAGACCTTGGGAGAACAAAATTTTGTCTCGGCATTCAAATTGAACATCTGAGAAATGGTATTTTTATCTACCAATCAAATTATACCGAGAAACTTTTGAAGCGGTTTTACATGGAAAAAGCTCACCCACTCAATTCCCCGATGGTGGTTCGATCTCTCAATGTGCATGATGATCCTTTTCGACCTTGTGAAGATGATGAAGAAATCCTTGGTCCCGAAATACCATATTTGAGTGCTATTGGAGCGTTAATGTATTTGGCTAATAATACACGACCAGATATTGCTTTTTCTGTAAATTTATTAGCCAGGTACAATTCTTCTCCGACAAGAAGACATTGGAATGGCGTCAAACATATATTCCGCTATCTCAATGGTACAATCGATCTTGGATTGTATTTCAAGAATGGTGCAAATGCCACTTTAATTGGCTATGCCGATGCAGGATACTTGTCTGATCCACAAAAGGCAAAATCACAAACAGGATATGTATTTACCTATGGTGATACCGCTATCTCATGGAGATCGATGAAGCAAACATTAACTGCCACATCATCAAATCATGCAGAATTAATTGCTCTTTATGAAGCAGGTCGAGAATGTGTCTGGTTGAGATCAATGATCCAGCACATACAAATTGAATGCGGTATAAAATCGTTTACTTGTAATCCTACTGTGATTTATGAAGATAACACAGCATGTATAGCTCAGATCAAAGGAGGTTACATCAAAGGGGATAGAACAAAGCATATAGCACCAAAACTTTTCTCCACACATGATCTTGAGAAAGAAGGAACAGTTGATGTCAAACAAATCAAGTCCTGCGACAACCCTGCTGATTTATTCACAAAGTCATTGGCACCGAAGAAATTTGAAGAACTGGTCCACAAAATTGGAATGTGTCGTCTTCGTGATATATGTTAAATTGAGGGGGAGTAATATAAAGCACTGCACTCTTTTTCCCTTCGTCGGGTTTTTATCCCACTGGGTTTTTCCTGACAAAGGTTTTTAACGAGACAGTACATTATAATACTATGATACTAATACCCCAGAATAATTAGAAGAACCATTCAAGGGGGAGTGTTGAAATAAAGTTGAATTAGTCATCTTCTAACTATTCATGATTAGGAACACATTATCATCATTGTTAATATAAATAAGAAATCATAATTATGATTTCTAGATGATAATTGTGTGGTTCACAATTATCTTCTAATCCTAATAAGCTTAGCTTTTCCCCTATAAATAGGAGACTTCTCTGTTGTAATTAACACACCTTGATTACACTATTATCACACTCTCTAATACTCTCAATAACATAAGTCTTCATACTATATTTTCTCTCCCTGATCTTCTGCTTATTTCCTTCCATTTCATAACAAAATTTTATATAAAAAGTTTTTATAGAATTATATTTGTATGTTGTTTTTTTCAAAAATATAAACTTATGGTATTAACTGCATAATCAAAAATATTTTTATTTCAATCACTAAGCATTGCAATTATATAGACCGAGGGTAAGTAATATTATTTATTCACAGTGGAAGTTTAGAATGTTAATTATATATCTTCACAAATGCTAAAATATTTTAAATTATGCAATTAATAGCATAACTTATAAAAATAAAAGAATAATTTAACACTTTTAAAATCATGTATTTTCTAAAGTGTTATAATTTTTTATTTGTACTCCTATTGTTGCAAAAATATATCAAAATTCATAAATTTGTATTATCTTTCATATGACACCAATGTTTCACATAAAAAAAATATTATTTCTATTAATTTGTACAGTTTAGGATCGTAACCTTGTTACCGTGCATACTATTAATCCGGAATGAAAACTTAGAATAAAATTGCACAAATTTTATCAAACAGAATAAAACAATAAATAGATGTGATGGAGTTTGTGTTGTTTTATTCTAAACTGCCACTCCGGATTCATAGTGTATGTGTACGGTAAAAAATGATCCTAAACTACACAAATTAATAGAAATAATTTTTTTATTTTTATATTGTCATATGAAAGATAATAAAAACTTATAAATTTTGATATATTTTTTATAAAAATCGTAGAAAAAATAAAAGATTATAGCACTTTAAAAAAGAAAACTTCTTTAAAGGTGTCATATAAAAGATAATAAAAAGTTATAAATTTTGATATATTTTTTATAACAACCAGAGAACAAATAAAAAAGTTATAGCAATTTAAAAAATGTTATTGAAGTGTTAAATTATTGTTTTATTTTTATATATTCAACATGGATGTCATATGAAAGAATAAAAAGTTATGAATTTTGATATGTTTTTTGTAACAATCGGAGAGTATAAACAAAAAAGTCATAGCACATTAAAAAATGTTTTTTAAAATGTTAAACTATTATTTTACTTTTTTATATTCAACATTGATGTCGTATGAAAGATAATAAAAATTTATGAATTTTGATATACTTTTTGTAACAATCGGAGAGTACAAACAAAAAAGTTAAAAAGTTACAACACTTCAAAAAAACGAGATTTTATTTTGGTGGGAGTAATGACTGATTTTCTCTTTTCTTTGTCACTTTTTTAAACCTTGCATTGTCATTTTTTAATGGTTAATGCTCAACCAATGCAATACCAAATTTACTTTTCTCATTAATTCACTATAACGTCCTAATTTTGGTCGGGATTTTTTTCTCTCCATCCCAACTTTGCTATTTTATATTATACCTGTAATATAAAGTTGTTTTTTCATTTATTGGACATACAGTATTTTTTTGATCTTGCGCAATATGAGAGTGTATGCCTAAGCATTAATTGTCTAAATTTTACAATCAATATATGCGGTAGTGGTTATTGAGATTAAATTTTATTTCCTTTCCACATCCTGGACTTACCGTATGTTTTGGATTTAGTTAATCTGTGGCAATCAATGCATTTGGGCGGGATTTGTCCGAAGTGCATTCCTAAACATTAACTACATATTATTCCCTATTATGATTATATTTTGGGCTGGATTTTTCCCTCCAATTGTTGCCCAAACATTGTTACTTTACATTATATAAAGATATATATATATATACTAGCGGGCTGCGCACTACGTGCGAATAAGGCCCAACATTTTATTATTAGTTGTCTAAATTTGTATCTAAATTTTTGTGCAATCACTCTATAATATATATACATGCCTTGTAAGTTTTATAATTTTTATTTTTTGACTTTTTGCATGTATGTTATTGTATGGAATATTTGGAATAAACCTTTTTATAACACTTGTTGACATTTTTTGAGTTATTGTTTAATTTAATTTGCATAAATGTTAATTTGGTTAGTGTGTAGTCTATTTGGATAGGAGTACTCCTAATTTAGTATGACATAATTTTATACGTATTTCTTAAATGTACAAAGACAATAATAAGAGAGTATTGGAATTTCCGTATTTATTGTGAATTATTCCTAGTCAAAAAGTTAAGAAAAAGTTGAAGTATGATAGTGGCACAAATAAGTATAATATTATGTACGTGACACAAGAAAAAAATAAAATCTTAAGACTAAAGAAATCGTGATATTAAATTCTAACATTGGCATATCTTTAATAAGAGTGTATCTAACTTGTTTACCATAATTTAGCCGTTGCAGATTGCTGTAATGTGACGGGAGTACATTTCTTTAATGTGTTGTGGAGTACGTACTACATGTGAATATGCTTAACATTTTTAAATTACATGCATAAATTATTAATGCTATTGGTATGTAGAAATGACACTCCTTATCACACTTTGAATACATGTAGAATTGATATTTAAAAGATATAGAATATGCAAGAATGTTTTGATATATTTTAAAAGGGATTTATTATTTTCATAAAATTTGCATGAATGATTTGCATTAGAAATGCTATTAATTCAATGACACAAAATTTAATATTTTTCCCTTAAATGTGCAAAGTCAACAAATTATAATGAAGGTACTTCCTGTAGGAAATGTGAAGAATTTATGGTAATGAAGTCAAGATGTAAATTGAGTTTATGAAAACGGCACCACACACAATAATAGTACAAGATACAAGGAAAACAAAATTTTAGACCAAAGAAATTATATTACTATGATAATTAAATTAATATAAAAGTGCTTCTAACTTTATCATAGTGTATAAGTTGTAGTAAGTTTACATTACAGTACATTGTATAGGCTTACATCCAAAGGTCATACCTAGGTTACTCCTAGTTATTAGTAATCAACTATTTAAATATTTAATATGCATCAAAGTTATAAGTTTCAAATACATAGATAATCATTAGTAAGATCCCATAGTTAAATTAGCTTGAATCTAACATTTTTGGTGCTTCTTGCCTTTGTTTTTGCCTGAGGTTGTTGCAATTGTTGGGAGGTCAGGCAAGTGTGCTTCTTTGTACTGTGAGTCATTGTTCTCGCCTCCTATGAGCTTCCTCTTTCCTTCTGGTGAATTTGGTAGCACATTGTCATGCACAACAGTTGACTGAGCATCACTGCATGTAGGAATATCTGTCGGAAAAGAAAGAGAAAGCACAGAAAAATTCTTTTTTGCCTTTGAATGTATATTAGGACGCACTATTTTAAGCGCAACAATGAAAGTGAGAGCCTTGACTTTATCATTCAAGTGAGAACTGTTAATGCAATCCGGATTGATGTTAATTTCTAGCATCCGTAACAACTTGTACACTTCATTGGTGAATAGAATTGTTTGCAGTTCCCCAGTTGCATCAGATAATTCAACACTCAATCGGAATCTGCAATTATGTGATATTAGTGATTTTTGTGCTTTATTAATAAAAGATGAGAAATTTAAACTTCTAAGATTTACCTCTTTGTGCTAACTCCATTAATGTTACCACAATTCAAACATTGAAAATGAACACCTTCAACCGTTGAGTTAATGCCTTTATTGCAGCTATTGCAACCGATGTAAAACGGAATGTAACCGTTTTCCAGAAATCTTAAGGTGCTCAAAATCCAAAACACCCTAGTCTATATGATCAAAAAATATTTAAGTTTCTCTATAACAAATTATTGTCAACTAATTAAATAAGAGCAATTTCTTCATTGTTGGGAGTATAGGTTACCTCGTCCACACTGCTCTTGACATCAATGACATGAGATTTAGATTGCATTTCCGGTAGTGCAAACCTAACAAGTGAGTCCATGTACAGTTGTTCGGTGTTCATTTTCTGAATAGCTTGAGCATTAGCAGACCTCCTATTAAGTAAAACTCTACAATTAGTTGTCTTTTTCAAAAAAAATCTAATTTTATACCTCAATATAGTGTACATAAGTTAGTAAAAGTCTATTCAGTATAAATCACCATTGTTTTAATGCAGTAGCATGTTGGTTATCAGGATATAGCTCTATACATGTGTCATATCTTGTTGATAATGATAATCTTGCACATATGTTCAATGTATTGAAGTAATAAAGTAAATCAAACATCAAACAAATTCATGTAAGACAAGATTAATACATTAAGATACTCATAGAAAGGAAGAAAGAAATTTTTGTTGCTTAATTTGTGAAAATTTTAATAGTGTTTTTTAGACTGTGCAAGTATATGTTTTTTAGAAGGTAAGAGAAAGTGAAAACTGTAAACAGATTGGGTGCCAATGCTTATCAATAGTTACTAATAGATTACTTGTACCTTTAATTAAAATTGAACATGTATACATCTTTATCACCAAAATTTCATATATTCCTCCTAAAACTATATCAATGAAATCTGTGTATGGATTTAAGGTTTCATATTGTTATTCTTCAATTACTTGACATTTTTTAATTAACAAACTGTGTTATTTTAATAACATTGTTTTCAAATTTATAATGTTAGGTAATAGAGCTAGATGGCCACAACCTTGAGTTGTGGAATGAGAAATGAGTATAGCTGGAGTTTTATTGCACCATGAGTATAGTGGGAAGCTTCAGGATCCCATTGGGAGATGTTAACTTGATATTGAAGTCAGATTTGTCTATTTTAAAATTTTCAATTAGTAAATAGTATGCGTGGGCGTGTGTTTGTTAAGCAACTTACAATTTATTATTAACCTGCTGTTTTTTAAATAATGGGTTATTATAATTACATGAGGGTGAATGTGGTTGTGCAAGTTTATATTGAATTGTATTAGTTAGAACATGTGCTTGAATAATTCGTGAGAAAATTTAAAAAAAAATGCACTTTTTAATTCTCAGGATTGTACGTAAAATCCATTATAGATAACTATAATAAACTATATTTATTTAGTGTTTTTGGAAATTTGTAAATAACTACATTAGCTTATCTAAATATCACCTTGATATGTAGTCACAGCAACACGCTTAGCAAGAACAATTGGATATATTCCAGCTTCCAGTAAGTTCTGAATCTCAACACCTTGAATGCTAGCACATTCATCCCACATTGTGAAAATGATTGGTTGCGATCTAAAAACATATTAGTTTAGTTAGTATATTGAAGTCGATATGAATAAGTGAAAACAATGTACTTTTTTGTGTACTTACTTCTCATCAACAAAGATAAAGTCATTTGCTTGTTTCTTCTTCTTCTCTGTGACAACAAACTCGCGTGGGAGTTTATAGATAATGGCACCGAGCACATCTGCAAAGGGTTGAAAATATTTTTATTTAGGGAATTTCTTTTTTAAGTATTTATTTATCATGACTACAAAGACCTTTGGTTTGAGAACTATAAACTTACTTATAGTGTCCCTTTTAATCATGGAGTTATAGAAGAGAGAAAAGGGTGTTGTAACTATTTCAGCACTTTTCTGCACATCTATTTTATCCTCTTCATCCACATCTTGAATCAATGTCCTTCTATTGATGGACCAAAGAAATTTGTAATGTTCATCAGGAACATTGAAATTTGGGTAGACCGCAGTGACCAATGCATTAGATATGTTGTAGGTCCTGTACAGTTCTAATCTTTGGTCCACAACAGAAATATCTTGCCCATATGCCATGACCTTAACCTTGTTTCCCTATATAGAATGTATTCACATTAGGTTTAAATTGTGCATTGATTGTTGTATTTCTTAACTTTTAATACTTACAACAATATCTTGAAGCACAAATGGCTTGTACAATTTTCCTGGACTTTTTGATGATTCACGTATGTTGAGCTTTTCCACAATTGAAACTTTGCAAGTCCAAGAAGCTAATTGAGGAGTGATGTCACTTATTAAAAGTGAATCAGCCATGTTTTAGCTTTTCCTGAAAGAAAAAATAAAGGAATTGTTAACATTGAATTTAGCAAGTAAATAAAAAGGGGACAATTTGTCTAACATAATTACATAAAATAAAACTTACAATTTTTTGGTAGGCAATGTCATAATTTATAAGTGTCAAGTGTGAATCAATTTGGTGCAATGTATTGGAGTATTTCTTGGTACACTATATTTTCTGTTTCATTTGTTGCCTTTCCATTGTTGTTTTTATTAAGGATAAGCATTTTTATGGATGATGCATTTTTTGCCCTTGACATGGCAACATATAGTTGTCCATGACTAAACACTGGTTCTTTTAAATAAATTCCAACAAAATCCAAGGTTTGACCTTGTGATTTGTTGATTGTCATTGCAAAGCATATCTTCACTGGGAATTGATTCCTTTTGAAGGGGATAGAACATTTTTCATCTTTAGATGTCTCTAGAGGAATTCGGGGAATGAATACGTGTTTTCCTTTGTGTTCACCAATTGCAATATAACAGCTGATTATATGATCGCCAAAAGAATCACATATTAATCGTGTTCCATTACATAATCCTTCAGTTGGATTTATGTTTCTCAATAGAATGATTGGGCAATGTTTCTTGAGTGTTAAAGAGTGTGGTGGCATTCCGACGAATGTTAATGTATGTAGGTAGTCTTGGCAATTTAGGTATCTTGAATCTATTGGTTCATCATAACTCAAAAAAGTTTTGGACTCTCCTTGGAAGCGTGATATGATATTTGTGTTGATCTCGTCTACAAATTCATTTTTCGTTGTTAAAATTGCCCTTCCCATCAACAAATATGGATCTTGGTGAAATACAAATAAGTTGGGATAAACTGAATTAATTAAACACATCAATGGATCTTGTTTTTTGGAACATGAAACAATGAAATGTGATGGTGTTTTTATTGTGTTGTTTAAGCTTGGTTGTAGTGATCCATTTCCTAGCTTCATTAAATAGTCACAAAATTGTGGATCCGTTTGAGCCCTCATATTTTGCACAAGTGATAATCGAATTATTTGAGGCCATACGGTCAACGATTTCACTAAGCATGCATCAATAAAGTCCTCCTTTTTTCCAGAGCGAACAACCGGAAGAGTTTGTCTTAAATCTCCCCCAAATACAATTACTTTTCCACCAAATATGTTGTCAGAACCCATTAGATCTCTAAGGGTTATGTCAAGTGCTTCGATAAGTTTCCGGTGAGCCATGGAGACCTCATCCCATATAATTAATTTTGCTTGTTTAAGTAGATGAGCTTCCGCACTTTGTTTGCCAACATTGCAAACATACTTATTTTCTCCATCTATAGGCAATTTGAATCTGGAGTGTGCAGTACGACCACCTGGAAGAATGGAAGCTGCAATGCCAGAAGTTGCTGTTGCGAGTGCGATCCATTGTTTAGATCTTACCGTCGCGAGCAATGTTCTATAGAGATAGGTTTTTCCTGTGCCACCTGGACCATCCACAAAGTAAACTGCTCCTAATTGATTCGATATGCTCTCCATGATTGTTTCAAATGCATGTTTTTGTTCTGCATTGAGTTTGGTGATACTTTGAAGATCAGTGTCTGTGACTTTAACACAATACTCAGTTCGTAATTCTCGACTATACTTTTCCATCGATGATGAAGATAAATCGAAATCGACTAATTGATATTCATCCAAAGATTTTCCGAATTTTTCTAAGATCTCACCTATTAAACGTAATACAATTGATTCAATCTCTTCCTGGTTGTATAAACCTGTTCTATTGAAGTCGTCACATAGGTAAGCCTTAAATTTCTGCCACAAATCCCTCGGATCCGGAACCGTACAGAAAATCAATATAGTTGCAAATAGATTACGGAGACTTTGTGGTAGTTGATAGGTAATTGCTTCACTTAAGCCAGCTTCAACAGATGAATTTCCAGTTAAAAGCCCTAACTTTTCTGCTGCTTCTCTAAAAGTAGATGTTTTAAAACCATTAAATACTTTTAGATCATCAAATGAAGTCGGTGCTCTTACATTTTGAAGCAAAATTCGCAGGTAATAACGCTCACTGTCTGCGGGATTCACATTTACAACTCTGCCAATGACATGTTTGCTTTTACGTTGTGTCCAAGATCTGGTAGTGGTGGACCAAACAAAATATTCCGGAAATTGTATATATAAAAGATTGAGTGTTTTCGCAACCACATTTGTAGAATTCATTTTGAAGTATTCTGTTAACATAGTTCTTGATTGAGCATCATCTTTTAGTATGGTTGTAATTTTTTGACCGCCACAGAAGTTTATGTATTGAAAATTTTCCAGGTGCACTTGCAATTGGAAAACAGAGGGATTCATCTCAGCTATTTGAAACGAAAATATTCTCCAAGCGGCCTCTGGTGCTGAAACCCAGCGGGCTTTTTGAAAATCTTGTATTTCATCTATCTCTCCCCCACCATCACAATCTGTTAAGCTCAGACTCACCCTATCATGTCCCTTGTACACGTACTTATATAAGTACTTCACAGACTTTATAGTAGCACATAGCTCTACATTCATATGACAATCATATTTGAGTAGTAATTGTGGGTTATAGGGTACTACCCATGAGTTGTCAAGTGAAATTCCTTTGATGTCAACTACCATATCATTTTGTCGTCTGCGATAGATTGGGAATGAATCTTTGTCAAACATAGTTTCGGTACAGTATGGACGAGGGTAATTGTTTTTGCAAGATAGAGGAAGGTGTTTTTGTTTTTGGATCATACAAGGACATTTTAGGTTGAGGGAACCACAAGGTCCATGAATCATGTGTTTTTTAACGAGATCGTACAATCGAGGTTGATTTTCTTTGCAAGGTATCTCAGCACAAATGAAGTCATCACAACGTTTGGGTTGAGATATTTTAGAGTTAGGTGTTAATATGATGAGAAAATGTGCATGTGGTAAACCACGCTTTTGGAACTCAATGACGTATATATATGCGGCAACCTCACCAAAAAACTTTTTCTTGACAATATTATTCTTTAACTCTTGTAGTCTAGCGTGAAATATTCGAGCAACTATGTCTGGTCTATTTTGTGCCTCATCAACATGTTGAAGTAGTTCTTTTATTTCTGGCCAATTTGGATTGCAAGTCATTGTTAAGAATATATCTGGTTTTCCGAATTGTTGAACTATAGCCATAGCATCGAGATATCGTTTTTGCATGTCTCGAGGTCCACCTATAAAAGATGCTGGTAAAATGATTCTTCGTCCAACATCTTTACCATACACCATTCTGATATTCATACTATCAACTATTCCGTGGTATGTCTCTGATCTCAACTCATGTTGGCGAAGCCTATAGTAATCACGTCTTTGCGTTTCTATTTTCACGTAGATATCAACAATAAATTGTTGCAGTAATCTTCCAGTGTGTAGCAACATACCCATATCGCTAGGGCGTACTTGAAGCTTGTAGGAATAATATTCTCTACAAGAAACTGTTTTTCTTTTTCGACTTTGTTGAAAGTTCCTTTCCTCTTCTTGGATAAGATCATCGGGATTGTTTATTAAATTGATACTTGTTGTTATGGATTGTAGACTTGTTGTGTTTTGGTTGACAATGCCACCTCTATGAGTAACTTTTTCAATGCCTTCATGCCAACCAATGTCACCTTTGGGAAACAATAGAGGATATTGTAAAGGATCGTAACATCCATAATAATATTGGATGTTTTTAGATTGTCCACTATGAGCATAAACCCTAATGTGTCTTTTCCTTGGTATATCCTCATAAGAGTCAATCCAAAGTGCAGCTACTTGAGAAACAGAAGGGGTGTAATAGACTCTCTGATCTAAACCAGCATCAGAATTTAAGGTGATGCTAAATTCATTTTCACAAGATACATTACCTAGGCTTTTAAAGAACTGGGCATATGGATTACATGTTAGAATTTGGACTATAGTGCTCACAGTTTCCTTATCTAACCTATCGCAGCTTGCTAGGCGGTTTGAAATTTGGTGATCAGTGTCAAAAAAGTACATTTGGAGATTATGGGGTTGGGAAGAATCTGGGATTAAATCATCGATGTAATGATAAATTTGTCCCTGGACTTTGAATGTATATATCCCTTTGTTTCTACGGCACAAATCTCTAGCGTAGTTATAAATACCTATAGAAGTGAACGCAAATGTATTGTTATACGTCCTAACAGAGGCTTGAAATTGTCTAGCTTGAGTATTTTTGCCAATAAAAAGATCCCTTAGGGCAGAAGGCATTTCATTGGATGCAAGAACAACTTGACCTTGACAACAACAAAACCCTAATGATTCAAACTGTATACGTGTGGCGCCACAGAAGGAACAATTAGGAATTTTGTTTAAGGAAAAAGGTAGGTCACGATATTTATATACGATTGATGTATCTGTGATTTACAGTATCATATAGTGATGGTGTTTTGTTGTATTTGATGTGTGGGTATATGTGATATTAGTAACATCAAATATATTTGGAGCAATAGAAATGATATAGAATTAATTGTTTTTATTGTTGGGTGTATGATTATTAGAGACTAAAGAAATTAGTTAGGGTTAAAACTTAGTAAAAATATCAAAGGTTTCAAAGAATATAGGAAGAGGTAAATAACCTGGTTGATGTTCATTATTATGGTTGTTTGGTTTTTGGTGCAATTTCTTTTCATAATTTCGTAGCCTTCGCCTAAAGTTTCGGTTTTCGCGGGGTTCCTGTACTTTGGTGGTATTTGATGAACACTCACCAATTTCCATTGTTGTTTAGTGTATATAAATGTAAAACGGTGGTTTATCTTATGGTTTATGGTATGGATACGGTGTCCTGGTTATAAAAATAAGGATTATTAGGAAGCAATGCTGCAAACTATATTCACATATCGAATTGAAATGCGTATGAAGGGTTGTATTTGTAAAGATAAGGAAAGAAACTGACCTTTATATTGAACTTGTAACTCTTGTTGCAGGTACCTATTGAAAATGACAATGTTAAAATGCTTAGTTTCTTCATGTGTAAATGTCGTTGATTGAATGGTAAAGTAAATGAGCTTGGTCGAATGATGTGGGCCTTTTGTGTCCTTATAGTTGTTGTTTTCGATATTATCAAATTGATAAGAAAGTATAAACTTAAAGAAAATCTGAAAAATATTTCAAAGGAATTGACTACTTTTGTATCAAATTTATATTGGAGAAGATTGGAATTCTAAACAAACATGTTTGTAACGAAAAAGTGAAAAATATGGAATAAAATAGGCAGAGTAAATTACTTAGCACTAAAATGAGATTAATAACTAAACACTTACAATATTGCATGACATACTACCAATTACTTAACATTTGTAAATAAGAAAATTCTTAATTTGTTGAATCAGTTAATGACAACACTTTTTATATGCTTTTATTGTTGTTACATACTTTTATCTTTTCATGTATAACACCATTGTTTAAGTTAAGGAACTGTGATTATGTATTAATGTTGTATAATTGGAAATCTGTTTTCTTTTGTGCATAAAATGAACTAAATTCAAGGACTACCCAACTATACATTATTGAAATGCATTGACATTAAACCAACATTTTTAGTGATAAAAACATATAACTTAAAGGTCTAAGAGTTATTTAGTTAAGAAGTTTCAAGGGCAAACGATCCCTAAGAAATATTGAGTTTTTGGTTGATTTTTTGTGAAGTGGATGAGTTTTTTGGGTTTTTTTGGGAGGATTTCTCACTTGATTATGCTCTAAAACTCTCAATGAAAGCACCATTGATGGATTAAAGGGGTATCCAAACTATAATAAAATGGAGAGATTTGAGCTAATGAGAGGAAGAAGATGAATGAATAGTAATGTATGAATGAGTTGTGATTTAGGTTTACAAGAACTCCCTAAGGGAGTATATATAGAAGAATATCCAGGTCTAGGCCTCTAATATGGCCTGACAGACTTGGTCACGTAAATGGACTGATAATATAAAGGCTAATCTAGAACACCTGAATAATAATAATGTACAATAATGAAAATGCTATCAGCTGAGTGTACGTGGGCCGCTGTCTGGGCCCAATAGTTATGAGACCTGGGGTCCGAGTCTATATACTCCATCACTTGTATAATTGGAAATATGTTTTCTTTTTGTGCATGAAATGAGCTAAATTCAAGGACTACCCAACTATACATTAATGAAATGCATTGACATTAAACCCACATGTACACTACGTGTGAATAATGCCCAACCTTTTCTTATTAGTTGTCTAAATTAGTATCTTAATTTTTGTGCCATCACTCTATAATATATACATGCTTTGTAACTTTTATAATTTTTAGTTTTTGAATTTTTGCATGTAGGTTATTGTATGGACCTTTTGGAATAAGGTTCTTTTATAATACTTGTTTGATATTTTTTTAGTTTTTGTTCAGTTTGCATAAAATATGCAGTCTAACATATTGACTGCAAGCATTTCTTAACTGAAGTGGCATTTTTACAAACACTTTGTGGGCGTAAAGGCTTTTAAGTAATCTGTTCTTTGTGAATCGAAATTTAAAATTGTTAAATTGAGTTTACACATACGGACTCTTTCCTGAAATTTACAGGTGTATAGGTGGCAATCTATTAAGCTTTTTCTTTAAGGGGTTGAGAAACTTCTCATGAAGTAAGAAAGATCGAAAATTAGTTATAAATAGACACTTAAGCATCCTCCTGAGGAAAAAGCATCAGAGAAGAACTTAATAAAGAAAATACCTAAGTTGAGGTGTAGTACATTTTTTGAAGTGGTAAATTTGTAAATGTCTATATCAATGTAAGCTATTTAACATACGTAAAAAAAATTAATTGAAGCCAACTAACAGTTATTAAAGTTGTTATAAGTTTTAAAAATAACATTTCAAATGCAAAGATCATGATTAAAATTTGGAAATGGTGTTTAAAAAATAGAAATCTTTAAGTCACAAAAATTAAAAAATGAGGATAAGAAAATCCCAGTGAGCAAATAAGCTTGTACTACTGAAGATTCATTTGGGTAGTAACGACTTGAAGTAACGACTGCTGATACTGGGAAATCTTGACTATCCGATACAGGATAGAAAGACTGATAAACGAGAAGCAACCAACATCTTGGCCTTCTCGCAACAGGCCATAACCAAATTTTAGTTCCATTAACTCATAAGAGAGGGAACGGGGAGGGGGGTCTTAATTGTACATGAAGACTCTACATAACAGGGAACTATTATACGACTGCAAAATTAAGACCTCTCGAACAGAACCACAAACATAAAAAGATCAACATGACAGAAATAATTAAGTAACAAAATAGAAGCCTCTTGGATCTGAAAAGGGGATCTTTTGTATGTATGTACATACCAGTAGTTAATATTAAAAACCAAAACAAATAAAAGGAATTGATTCTTAGTTGTTAAATCCTGTAATCTATAATGCATTATATGGACTCAATTGATCTCATATAGAGTCATCCACTTTATCTAATGAATTCACAACATTGTATAGTTATGTTAAAACATTCGAAATTTTCAAAGCTATTTACACCAATCTTTCATAAATATGCAAGTCAACCCAAACAGGACAGGGAAAATATCAGAAGGAATGAACATCATAAAATGAGTTAATTAGAACACATGAACCCATTAAGATGGAAAGTTAATAAATAATTTATGTAGATACATACTAAAATTTGATAACGCTATAACACTTTACTTACTATGTTGTAGTCCTTAGTAGTTTGGACTAATTTAAATAAGAATACCAAATCAGTCTAATTTTTCGTTTTTTCAGTTATTAAAATATCTAATTTTTAACCTTTCCTAAGTTTAAAAATGCCCTAACATTCCTTAATTGTCTGAAAAATATCAGTTTCCTTTAAAGTTCTCAGTAACTAATAATTTTGTAAAGTTTTATTGTAATTAGGAACATAGCTTTTTCAGGACCACTTGAGATATGGTTTGAGCACATATGTTGTCCAGTTCGTCTGCGTTGACAGTTTGTTTATCAAGTAAATTTGGACTTTTGTTTGGGCAGATTTAGAATGCATTTCAGTCAAAAAAATGTCAATGTAGACATTGAAACACTCTCCTCATAGAAGAGCCTAATTAAGAGAACATCTATGTTGACTTGTAACACCTTTTATTTGTTTTCTTATTGAAGTGAAAAACTTATAAAACCAAGAGATTAGCAATAGTTGACTGTTGACTTCAAACAATGTTTAATTTTGGTTGAAAGTTTATGAAACCTAGAGAAGCAGATTTACCCAGTCATTTGAAGCATAGGTGATATAAATCTTTTTCAAGCATGATAATGCTCTATTGTTAAAAAGTGCATTCCAGTATAATGTCTACTACATCTTTAAAGTTTAAATACATGTATTTCAAACATTTTGTAGCATAGTTTCCCATGAAGCATCTTTACTAAATAACGTTTAGGTTTAGGTTGTGTTTTTTCAGCAAACATGTGAGTTTATTTACAATGCATTTCAGTAACGTACAGTAGTGTACTCTTTGTTTTTAGTGTTTTTTTATGCACAAGATGAAGATAGAACTCACAATCGTTTGTTTTATTTAGTGCTGTAAAAGTAACAATGAAGATTTAGACATGTAAATAAATAACTGTGTAAACTTAGGACGTCACATGGCTAGACATTTTGTCGAACATGTTGTAGACGACCATGATATGTGTAGCCCAGAAAATTAGTTTATAGTTGTGAAGAGGGTTGGTTAAGAAAGGTGTGTAGATTTAGTAAGAACGTACATATACATTTTGCAAAATTACCGCACGACCCTAAAATTTCAGAATTCATTTCGTTTGCTAGAAGATGGAGCATTCAATAGTTTTGAAAAGCATGCCTGGGGAGATCGTGAAGTTAACAGAGTGAAAGCGGAAGAGAATTTCGGCCATGTCGTCACCCTTTTATATGTAGGAACTGTCCGTTGAAGTGTTGCCGTTGAACAATTGCACCGAATCGGCGCTTAGTAACCGCAAGACATTTAAAAAACTCCAAACGGGATGAAGACGTTGTGAGAGAGACAGATTTGTAAGGAGACTATATGTAGGGTAAATAGTTGACGGAAGTTGACGGAAAAAAGACCTTGTAACCTTAGTTGACGCTTATAATATAAGCAGGAACCGATCATTTTCCCCCCATTCTGATGCACTATTAGCTTTCTATATTGCACTTTTTCACGAAGGCATACAACTTTGACTTATTTACAAAAGTGCCACCATTTTTTTCTATTTAGAATGATTCGACCAAAGTTTAAAAAGTGCAAGAGACGAGCTTTAAAGTGAATCAAATTGAGTCAAAAGTGACGGTTTGCAATTTGCACGATAAGGATGGTTTTTATCAGAACCGCACCACATATATATGTACACACACACACATATATATATGTGACCCCTCGACCACCAGAAAACTGACACGTGTCCTTATCTAGCATTTATTACTACTATAAATAGCACCCTTTTCCCCCATTGTAAACCACGCTTAATACACATCGAATATACACTCTCTCTCTTACTTATTTGCTCTGACTTCTCTCTAGTTATTCTCCGCAATAACCCCTCGGATAAGCTACCCCTCGGGTACACTATCCATCATTTGGTGCTCTCGTTGAGAGGTCGAACGATCAAGTAAGAAACCCTCCCCCTTCGCCAAACACTAGCCCTCTACCAAAATGGTGAGAACAACACGTGCCAACTCCAAAAACGTAGAAGACAAGAACCTGGCCCTCGGCGACGTCAACGCCCCCGAAGCCTCTCACAAGGCTCCCGAGGGCGGTGTCATCGCTGGGCTGGAACAGGCGGCTGTCGACCTACGCCTTCAGATCCAGCAGAATGCCCCCGATGCCCGCCTCGGCATCGAGGCCAAGAAGAAAAACCGGAGCGATGACCAAGTCAGCCCTCCGGTCCTCACCATCGACGTTCATTCGGCACTCTCCGCCTTCATCCAGACGCTAACTCAGAACCCGGGTGCCTTCGGCATCCTGGCTCCGGCTCAACCCCAGGTTGGGGAGAACATCGTACTTCCCCCTCTGCCACACCCCTTCGGAAACCCCTTCCCTCGAGTTAGGAATGACGAAGGGGTAGTGGCCCAAGACACGGCCTCCCAGGAAGTTCAGTCCCGGGACCGCCACAATGACAACAGAGAAAGGCCCCACACTTCCGCCCTCAACCGGGTCGGAGGGGGGCAAGACCGCCGAGAGGTCCAAGACCGCCTCGGAGGAAAGGCACTCCAAAGGCCCCAAGAAAGCGGAGGGTCTGTCTCGAGGGCAGACGAGGAGCGTCCCCCTCGGGACAAAGGCAAGGCACCCCTTCATGCCGACGATGCTCGCCACCAGATCAACCAGGCTCACTCGGCCCGGGTTCGTTCGCAGGGGGCGGAGACCCTCCCGAAGGACCCCCGGGACGAAATTATTGCGGCCCTCCAACGCCGACTTGATGAAATGGAGGCCTACAAAGCTCACGCCACCACCTCCACCCCTCATTCAGACCTCAAATACGAGGCCATGATGGCCAAAATGGAGGAATTACAGAAGAAGGTGGCCGAGGGCTCCGGGGAACCCATCATCCAGCTCCGGACCCGGACGCCATTCACCCCAAGGGTATTGGCGGCCAAAATCCCGGAAAAGTACCGAGGGCAACTCATCAAGCCCTATGAAGGAAAAACTGACCCCCCAGGAGCACTACAACAGGTATCAAAACAGCATGATGATGATGGGGGCATCAGATGAATACTTATGTCGTTGGTTCCTTTCCACCTTGGAGGGACCAGCATACGAATGGTTCAATCGATTTCCCGAGGGCAGCATTGACTCTTGGCAAGATCTTGCCCAACGCTTCCTCACCCATTTTGCCGGAAGGAAGCGCGCGAGAAAGCACTTCTCCCAGCTCCTCTCCGTCAAGCAACAGCCTGACGAAACACTTCGGTCCTTCATTGACCGGTGGATGAAGGAGACAGACGAGGTCGAGGGCGCCGACGAGCGTACCCTCCTCGTCCTCTTCCAGGGGGTTCTCCGCAGCAGCCCCTACGCACGGAGCCTCATCACCGACCCCCCAAGATCATACCTCAGAGCACTCCAGTGGGGGAGCCTATACGCCGACGCCGACGACCTCCACTCCTTCAAGAAGAACGAGGGCCAGCCCTTGAAGAAGATAAACAACACGCCGGCCCCAAATGTGCCCTCGGCCGGAGGCCGAGACCATGGAAGCCACACCCAGCAGGGCCGTAACGAACGCCAATGGCGCCCTCGGCTGGACACGCCGAGGACTCCCCTCACGCACCCGGTGAGCACTATCCTCAGCTATGCGGAAGAGCAGGACCTTTTCCCCAAGGACCCTCGGTCGGCGAGGGAGATCTACGCCATCCACCAAGGCGGCACTTATTGCCGTTACCACAAAAGCACCTCCCACAATACAGACGATTGTGTCTCGTTAAAGAAGGCTATTGAACTCTTAATTCAACGGGGTGAGCTCCACCAATTCATCAAAAATGTCCCAAGGAAAAACACCGGGGAGAACACCGATAAAGAAGAAGGTGACATCGCAACAAAGAAACATGAAATCGGGAGGCTCAGTGACGGAGAGGAGTTCGAGGAGCCCCAACTGAAGAAGCCCCACCTCCGCTAATCATGTTCCTCACCTTCGGCGTTAGTCTCAGCCTTGGGCCCTCGACCTCGAGGCACATTACCATCCCCTCGGCCTAGAGCCCTCGGTCTTGAGCGGTGAATCTTAACAAAGCCGTTGTCAAACAACGCACCCCTTGTATTCCGCTTATTTCTATGAATTTAAGTAAACTACAACACAATCCAGACATCTTATCGGCCCCTTCGAGGCCAAATGCCCAGGTATGGCCGATGGTTTCTAAAGACGAGGGGCCTGCAAAAGGCCCGCGTTTTTGGAGCGGGACGCTCGCCGCGTCGCCGACGCGCAACGCACGGCTACAGGCCCGAAAGAATGGCTGAGGTGACGAAATCCCCAAACTTGGGGGTGAAACGGCAGTCTTCGGAAACCGACCAAGCCTAGCCCGCGCCGTAAATAGACGACGGGACCCCCCAAGGTCAAGGGACGGTTCAGCGTCGGGGGACTAACAGACGAACCCCCGGACGGATCACTTGGACCCCCTTCCGGCCGAGGCGGGGAAGCAACCCCCTCGGCCGAAGCCTAGAAGAAGGAACACACATCAGGAGGACTAACATACGACCTCCTGGCACAATCAAGGGACGGCCCAGCGCCGGGGGACTAACAGACGAACCCCCGGACGGATCACTTGGACCTCCTTTCGGCCGAGGCGGGGAATCAACCCCTCGGTCGATGCCTGAAAGAAGGAACATACACCCAGAGGACTCCTGGAACTATCAAGGAAAGGCCCTCGGCCTCAATTCGATTCTACATCACCAATGGCCCTCGGCCTTGGCATGATTCCACGTCACCAACGGCCCTCGGCCTCAGCGTGATCCCACATCACAACGGCCCTCGGCCTCAACATCAGACGGCCCTCGGTCTCAAAATCAACAACGGCCCTCGGCCTCAACATCAGGACGGCCCTCGACCTCAGCATGATTCCACATCACAATGGCCCTCGGCTTCAACATCAGACGGCCCTCGCCCTCAACATCAACAACGGCCCTCGGCCTCAACATCAGAACGGCCCTCGGTCTCAAAATAACCAACGGCCCTCGGCCTCAACATTAGGACGGCCCTCGGCCTCAACATCACCAAAAGCCCTCGGCCTCAACGTGATTCAACATCAACAACGGCCCTCGGCCTCAGCGTGATCCCACATCACAACGGCCATCGGCCTCAGCATCAGAATGGCCCTCGGCCTCAACATCAACAACGGCCCTCGGCCTCAGCGTGAGGACATCACAATGGCCCTCGGCCTCAACATCAGACGGCCCTCGGCCTCAACATGACTCCATGTCATAACGGTTTTGGCCTTAGCGTGATCTCACATCACCAACGGCCCTCGGCCTCAGCATGATTCCACATCACAAAGGCCCTCGGCCTCAACATCAGACGGCCCTCGGCCTCAACATCAACAACGTCCCTCGACCTCAGCATCAGAACGGCCCTCGGCCTCAACATCACCAAAAGCCCTCGGCCTCAACGTGATTCAACATCAACAACGGCCCTCAGCCTCAGCGTGATCCCACATCACAACGGCCATCGGCCTCAGCATCAGAACGGCCCTCGGCCTCAACATCAACAACGGCCCTCGGCCTCAGCGTGAGGACATCACAATGGTCCTCGGCCTCGACATCAGACGGCCCTCGGCCTCAACATGACTCTATGTCATAACGGTTTTGGCCGTAGCGTGATCTCACATCACCAACGGCCCTCGGCCTCAGCGTGATCCCACATCATAACGGCCCTCGGCCTCAACATCAGAACGGCCCTCGGTCTCAAAATCAACAACGGCCCTCGGCCTCAACATCAGGACGACCCTCGGCCTCAACATCACCAACGGCCCTCGGCCTCAGCATGATTCCACATCACAATGGCCCTCGGCCTCAACATCAGACGGCCCTCGGCCTCAACATCAACAACGTCCCTCGACCTCAGCATCAGAACGGCCCTCGGCCTCAACATCAACAACGGCCCTCGGCCTCAGCGTGAGGACATCACAATGGCCCTCGGCCTCAACATCAGACGGCCCTCGGCCTCAACATGACTCTATGTCATAACGGTCTTGGCCTTAGCGTGATCTCACATCACCAACGGCCCTCGGCCTCAGCGTGATTCCACATCACAACGGCCCTCGACCTTCATCCCTCCGACATCTTTATTTGATGTCGGGGGCTATCATACAGGCCCATCGACCTTCATCCCTCCGACATTTTTATTTGATGTCGGGGGCAATCACACAGGTCCCTCGGCCTTCATCCCTCCGACATCTTTATTTGATGTCAGGGGCTATCATACAGGCCCATCGGCCTTCATCCCCCCGGCATCTTTATTTGATGTTGGGGGCAATCACACAGGTCCCTCGGCCTTCATCCCTCCGGCATCTTTATTTGATGCCAGAGGCTATCATACAGACCCATCGCCCTTCATCCCTCCGACATCTTTATTTG